AGCATCTTTATAAAACAATTGCTTAAAGCAGAAATGACAGTCGAGCTCTCAGGTTTGTAGCCATTCAACATTTTGTGAATTTTAGTGAGGTTTGATAAAATATTTGGTAAAACAAAAAATGCTTGGAAAAAAGCACTGAATTCAGTTTGAAAATGTAATTGGCTTATATATTTAAGCACCATATTCCCATCTACAGCATGCCATATCTGACATCCAGTGAATTTTTGTCTTCATTTGGAAACATCTGAATACTCTGAGGAATTAAGATCAGCTCTTTTTTGATTCCTACTTGATATTGGAGTTAAAGTTCGGGCAGTAATTTATTATGTTCAGGAATCCTGAGGGCCTGAGTCTATCCCAGTTGAGACTCTCAAGAGGTCAGCTGCATACCAGCCCATAACAAGGCTAACAGAAGGAGACAGGCAACTATGTGCACTGATACCAATTTACCAATTCAAAATCCCTAATGGACTTGAGATGCACAATTTGGGACGTAAGAAACTACAGCACATGGAGAAAAAAAAAAACTTGAGACAGTTGAAACACAGAGGAAAGAAAACCTGTGACAGTGAAAACACGCACACAGGAGTCAGGAGAAAAATAAATCTTTTTCATTCTTAAAACCAAGTTAACCAAAGTAAAATCATGAAGTTTGCAACTAGATGATAAGCTTTTTTTGCTGATCAACTCTGTCATGAGGGATTTAAAAAAAAGAGGCTTGACCAAACTGAAAAAAATGACAGTTTTCAAGCTAACCCCCACTCCCAACCCCCACAAAATGCTTCAATCTAAACACAAAAAAAAAACTTTTATGAGGTATATCATTACTCAGGTGAAATTAAAGCTTCTGAGAGTTTCTAGAATTTACTACACTCGACATGAAGTTGATATTATTCATTTCCGGGACTCCAGTCTGTTGATGGAGCCTGAGTCTCACCAGAAACTTTAGAGGAGAAAACCCATTTCTATCATAGGCAGTGCGGCTTATTTTACATGGCCTATCAACATGCTCAGCACAAAGTCAATTAGCTTGCCACTTTGGAGCCCTTATTGCTGAAGAGACAGCGCTACAATTTCACAATAAACAGACAAAAACACACACGGGATGAGTTCTGCCGAATCCTGAATTCATTAGAGGAGAATTAACACAGACTGTCTTGATCAATGCAGCTTTTAGATTTGGGTTACGCTGTCTTCAGGACATTATTGTTATGGAACATCAACTAAGACCACATTACAAACAGAAGTGTTTAGAAAACTATAAGCTATGTCATTGAACGCATGAGAAATGTTCTGAGTTAGACTCACTGTGCATGCGTAATGGATCGGAAAGCATCCTGTCACTGTATCCTACCACAGCCCCAGCAGTCGTCTTGCACTGAAAAAAATATAAAATAATGAATAAATAAGTTATTGCAAAGAGCTCATGTGTCTGCCATCTATAACTGAAAGGACCTAGACTAAATTTCAAACTCAGGTCATTTCCCCACTTTGACTTTAAGCCAATCATGTAAAGTACCCCTTCTCCTCTTCTGTACTTCGATCTTCAATCACTCCCTCCTCCCCCCAGTCATCCTGTACCCTTTTTCTCCTCATTTTGCCCCTTTCTTTCTCTAATAACAGGATGTCTGCTTTCTCTCATATGGTCGCTGACCTAACAAGCAAAGGGCAGAACAGCCAGGGGCTTAAAGTAATTTTTGTAGTCTGCATTTGTCTCTCATCAGCAATCATGGATGAAAAAATAAGTGGGGCTTCTATACTTACACATCTGTATTTGTTAAATTAGCAGAAGGGAAAGGATTACTTCTGGAGGAAGAAGATCAGCTGTGTTCTATGCTTTACAAAATGCAGGTCTGTTACTGCTGTCTCAGTGAAAATTAAACTTTTTGACGAGACCAAAAGCTGAATAAGTACTTAGGGTGGATGCGCAGGCATGAAATCACAGTGAATTGCCCATGGAAAGTCATCCTTGTAGCAGGCTGTGACATGAAATGGTCCTATCAGTGCACTTGTAGAGGGGAATAGACTTGGGGAAATCATATGACAATTGAACATCTGGAAACACATTTATTGAAAAAATGGGGGACTGAAACTATATCCGTTTGTATTTCTTCAAAGAGTTTGTATTTCTCATTTATACCTGTACTGGCATAACATTAGTGTTATAATTAACTCCAACCCCCTCCTTCTCTGAAGCCCTTTCAAGCAATGGGGACAGAACCCCACATCTTTCAGTTTTTCTCTCCTCCCTCACACAAACGGAGTCATTACCTGAAACGACCTCAAATACTGCTCCTATTCAGCTTGTTAATATGCAGCAAATAATCTCCGCCTGGATTGGCTGAAGTCACTTCCTGCAATTATAAGGGAGGAAACTAGGGTTGAGAGGTCATGGCTTGCTAAGTTTAGCCCTGTGGACACACCCACACTTAGACCAGTATCTACCTTTCATAATGATGATTTATTCTTATTAGAAAGTAACTAGCTTAGTCTATGTGGAGATGCTCATGCAACTTTAAGTCTGCTGGTATGTCCTAAGAGGCAGTGGGTTTTAAAAGTTGTAAATTCCTCTTCTAATTCAATCAATTCTATTTTTCTTTTATTGGTTAGGTATTCCCTTTTTGTAGGTATATATCAAATGAGCTTTTTACTGGTTAATTATAGTTAGGAGTCACCTAACAATGATTTTTTATCTGGTAAATTATTTTTTGTTTACTATTATACATAACAACGCAACAAAAAAAAAGTTCTGAGGGGACTTGACTCGCTTAAGTCCTTCCTGCTGCATCAGAAGAGGAACACTTGCACACCATGTGCTAGCCATCAGCGCCAGAGAATACAACACACTGAAACACTTGAAGCGGGAGTCTGCGGTAGACCACAAAGAGCTGCTCTGCCCGGCGCCCGCTCTTGATTGCCATCCTGATCATGCTCGTTAAAGGATGGGTGTCATTCCTGCCAGGGGCAGCTCCAGGGCAAGGGCTGGATGGTGGTTCCCGCACTCTCTCTGTGTTTAACGTTACCCCAAAACCTTCCCTCAGCCATGCCTCAGTGAGCTTCCCTGTCCTGATCAGTGTTTGAGCTGAGCACCTTCAGTACAACAGAACAGAATGAGACCCAGCAGGTCGTGTACCAGCGGGTCTGGGATCTGAGATGGAGTGATAAATACTGAGTGGTGTCACTGGCATCAGATCAGGCTTATTCTGTGTTAAGCTGCAGAGCATGGGGTTTTTGTATGTTCACACATACCCCATGTCGGATTCAGTTTGACTACTTTGCTTTGTGTTGGTGTGAGATGTTGTGTTGCCGCTGTTTATCTTCTTAAAATGGATTCCGCTCCAGCTAATCTTGGCTGAGTGTTTCTTTGCGCTCTTTTCACCCACGTCTACTGAAGACATTAAAGCCCCTGGGAGCATAGGCTGCTAGGTTAGATGGAGGCAGTATAAATGAGGTGTTTGGTCCTGGATGCAAAGTTTATATATATATATATATATCCATCAAATAACAATGTATTCTCTCCACTACAGACCCAATGTTCCACCTGGCCAGCAATAGAGGGAAATTCCTTCAGATTGGTGGTCTGGCTCACCTGCTGTGGTCCTACTGTTTGTAGACAGACTCCCCTCAGCTCAGGGAGATGCTGCTAAGCCATAAACGTGGACAACCAGACATCACTTCCAACAAAACCACAGACGTGCTCCATGCGCTGGAGCAAAACCTGCCAGGAGGTTACTGTCAGGACATTAAGTTCTCATTATACCGCATATAATCTTTTTTATTTTGAGTATGTATGTATTTTATAACTTGCATTTGTCATTCATAGATGAGACAGACTGTACTTTTGTGGCACATGTTCTCGGGAAAGTGCGTATCCAGAGGCAGAGTGGTGAGTTTATTGACGTATTACTTAAGAAAACAGGGATTTGTCTGTGATTGTGGCTCCTGAGGCACCCTTTGTCCGTCTGCTGGCTCCCCAGCTGTGCTTCCCCAGCCACATGTTTTACACTTAAACACATTTACTTTTCCTGACGTTTAGATTAAAACACGTCTAGCAGACAGAAATAAGCTGGCTCGTAGCTTTTCGTGAGTTAAACTATAGTTGTCAGCAGCTGGATCACTTCACTGCACATCAGTCAATAATCAGCTTCACCTCATCCTAACACAACGCACGCGACTCCCGCTCGGATCAGACGTGAGGATGAAGCCCACCACACGGCGATAACAGCCCCAGTTCCTGATAAGCTCAGCAGTAGTGATCATCATCTTCATCACCGCAAACTCTGCCAACAACAGCGTCTGGAGTCGCCCTGACCGGACGAAGCTGCTGCCAACGCTTCAAGCTCTCCAGATGAATCCTAACGCGGCACCGCACGGAAAACAAACTCACGGAGCTCTCTGCTTTCACTGACGGAAGCTGCTAATCAACCACAATAGAGCCGCTCCGTGCGTAAAAGCGCGCTCGACTCGACTTACCGTCTCAACGGGAGCTCAGCGGGATCCTAGTTCGGGTTGTTTTGGAGACTTCTGCCGCTTGTCTCCCATTTGAACGCGTCTCAGTGACTCGCAGGAGTTTTTTTCCAAGTGGAGCTGACCACGGGCACGGAGCTGGTGTCGGTCCCGGCGCGCACAGCTCCCACCCCCGACGCCTCGGAGAAGTGCACGGGAACCCGGCCGGCCCGTGGAAATAATTGCAAGATGTTACAGCGCGAGGTGCCTGAGATGCGCGATTGCGTTTAGTAGTGGTGCGAATTTCTTTGGGAAGAAACAATAAGCGACGCCTTTCCTCTAAGGTACAACGTTTATCCAGCCCAGCCTTTGTGCCTTCAAAATCTTCACCGAATATTTTCCACCTCAGCCACAGAGTTGCAAAGCACATGATCATTTATGCATCCATTATTTTCTCCATTGTAGACAAAAAAGATTCAAAGTCAGGAATGAAATAAGACAAACTGATACTGAACTATACAAGATATAAAAGATAATAATAAAAAACAGATTCGTGTTTTGCATTAATATATTACAAATGTTTTATTAAGCAAATTTCACCAAAACCCCTAAAACATGATACAACAACTCCTCATGGGATGAAAACTGTCAAGGTGGAAGGTCAATAGAGAAATATAAGATTTTATGAATGCGTTTCAATACCAGGAGGGAGGTAAGCGAACAGCACAAATTAAAAGTTCTTGATCTGTATGGCCATTACTTTTTTTTTTCAAAAATACATTAAAAGGCAAGGAGACCTGCACAGTTTATAATGTGCTTGCTTTCATTAAGTGGAAATGATTAAATATCATAAATTTAAAGCAACGGCAAAAATGGATACTTCCCAGAACATGCTGACCGCGTGATCCCTGCAAACAAATAAATATATTATCTTCTTAAAGATAAATAATCCTGATTTGTGAATACTGCACTCGCTTTACTAATGCATGGTTTAGCTTTATCAAAATATTTCCTAGTATGTGACCCCTGAAGAGATTAGTAGGTCACAGCAGTAAACTCTCTTTTTGTTGAACTCAAACACCTCATCAAGGCACACATCGAGCACAGTTAGAAAACCCAACGCCAAACTTAAGACTCGAAAATCTACTAGAACAGTACAATACAACACAAACAGCGCATTGAAATGTACTCATATTAGCATATTCAGCTACAAAGTGATATGGAATAAGGAACGACAACAGCAAACTGACAAAATAATAGACAAAATAAAGCTTAGGATGGGGTCTTTGACCAGCTGTTATTCTACCAAAACACACACACTTGCGTTCAGAACATATCCAAGATCTAGTAAGTTCCTGCAAACTTGTCTTGTTTTGTTTATATTTGTAAAGGCAGGTTAGATATTGACAGTGTGGGCGTGTTTCTTGCACAAGGCCTTGTCTTTTTTAGAGAAGAAAGGCTGGCCTTCCAGACTAGCAGAGCAGACCTGTAAAGATACCAAATGTATACACGTTAGTTCAACTGCACACACAGTTTTGGTCAAATTAATCAATTTGTTGCTGGACGTACTGCACAAACAAAACAGGTGTCGTGCCAAGTGAATCCAAGCGCCTCCATAAACTTGTCCCCCGCCTCGATGGGGAAGTCACAGCCGTGGCAGTTGGTCCCAAACATGGTGTAGTAGTCTGCAGACAGAGCATTGACTTATGCTACTCCATTTACTTTATAGCAGTTTTTATTTTGTGTTGACCGCTTCTTTCTGTACCTCTTTCACAGTAAGGCTGACCATCCTCCATGTGGAACATGTTGCCTCTGATTGGCTGTTGGCAGGCTACACAGATGAAACAGGACACATGCCAAGTCTGTTTCAGGGCATTCATAACTTCCTGTGTGGAAAAAAAAGGGTATATTATATAAAAAAATACATATTCTAACAAATTTGGGTCCAATTATGACCCAGTAAATACAAATTTGGTGCCTTTCTCCACTTAATGTAAAAAAAGAAAAGTATTCTAATTTCTTCAAAAGTAACTGAAAGTGTAGTTCCAAAACACATTCACTAACAAAAGACATAAACCATAAGCATCATAAAATCGACACCCACCCCAAGAATCTTCTCCTGGCAGCGAGCACAGGTGGGAGCGAAGAACTGCTCGTAGCAACGCTCGCAGTACACCTGGTCCTTCTCTTCCACGAATCCACGGTCTGCCAGAGAGGAGTGGCAGTGAGCACAGTTGAATTCCTCTGGGTGCCATGACATGCCCATGGCCACAAGGAACGGGCCCCTTGTCAGAGCGAGAACGAGATATAAGATTATTCAAACATAAAGCCTCAGAGAAAGTTCTTCCTAACGGTACTGAATTCAAAAGGCAGAGAGACGTGGTTCATTTTTCCGCTTTCCTTCATGTTAAGTGCAGCTGTCCCATGTACCTGATCACGTTGCTGCACTTGCAGCACATGGGGGTGCGTGTTCCGGCCGGGATGTGCTCGGCCCTTTGCACCAGAGAGTTCAGGTCCTCCGGATGGGGCTGTGGAGTGGGGCGGTCTGGTCCTTTAGGAGCAGGACCTCCAACTTTTCCAAATGAAGGAGGTGCTCCAACTTTAGGAATACCTGAATGAATAAAATAAGAGAGGGATATAAATGCTGACCAATTAAGCCAATCCGAAGATGTGCTTTCTTTTTGAATAGGTGAGGGAACAGAAAACATTGATAGTAATTTTCAAAAGCACAGAGCTTCAGTACTCCTTTGTATAGGTTTTCATAGGAGCTCTAAATATAAATATACAAGAACTCCTAAATTTGGTGCTTATTAAGTGTTTAAAATTGTGCTGCAAGTTAAATTCCTTGTATATATTTATTCATTGTGAAACATGATTAATCACAGGTCATTATTCAGTCTCCTTCCACGAGGCCACTTTGAGATATGAGCTTGTTTACTTGAGCTCAAGTGGATGTTAATCTGATAAATAAGCAACACAGGACCACTGTTTTCTCTGCTGCTTTCCCCCTATGGTACTGTTTAGCAGGCCTTTACTGATATAAAAAGGCTGGAGTACACTGAGACCTGAAAACATACTTTTTTTAAAAATATGATTGATTATAATAACCTCTGACTGATACTTTCAGCAAATATTTACAGCAACTAGCTCAAGGTCTCGTGGCAAGATTTACTGTTTCATTTCATTTTCACACAAACTAAAATCCATAATTCTCAATTTAACAATCCATTTGACTCAGTGGATCTTAGGAAAAGCCAATAATCTGAGCTCATTAAGTGAATAACTTTAGTTTTTATGGAGCCCATAATCTTAACAGTTTTAGTGTCAGGTATTAAACCTGCTATAAATGTTACAGCTGAGCAGCAGTGGTTTAGAGGAGTGGAGCTGCCCTCTGTAGGCTAAATGAAGCAACAACACATGGTAAATGTGTCCTGGCAGAGGCAGACCAGAACAGGTGAGGATTCCCGCTGTTTGCATGTTAATATACCTGAAAGACCTCCAGGCTGGAAGGAGGTTTTGGTCTGGGACGCAGGGCTTTTAAAATTGGAAGCAGGAGCAACATTTCCATTCCTGGGAGCAGATTTGGAAAACGTCTTTGCTGCAGACGAGGTGTGCATAGCAGGAACGGCATTTTCAACAGGCTCACTAGGACACAGATACACAATTCATATATAAATCACAACATAACATGTACACACACAAAAATGTAACCTACCAGAAGTGATGTACAGTACACTAAATCTCAAAAGAAGAAGTGGTAAATGTCATCTGTGGGCTCGTTCATTCACTACTGGTAAAGAAAAAACTAAATAATTATGGGGTTATTTTAGATTAAGGATATGCACCGCTGCCTACTGTCCACATGTTTCCACAATTAGTGACATAAGGGAGCAATTACAGGAGGTGATGCCACAGTATCTGGTGTACATATTCCTCCCTCTTAGATGATTCTCTTCATCATCAACATTTAGCAGCAGTTAAAAACCAACGCTATAATTTCAAAAGGCTTTTTAAAGTTGTTATAGCTTTAATTCTCTTTAAACATGGAGGACATAGAGACCATGATGTAGCAGGGGCCTATTTTACCATAATGTTGTACTCAAGAACTAGTATTAGACCTTCTTTTCTATTTCATAAAGGATTTTTATACAACTCCTTTAAAGCTGGGCCCTCAACATCTTCCCTTTTAGAACTGATGATTTTATCTTATCTGGATTTTATCTTACTGATGAAATTAGCTCACAGTTTCAGAGAGGTAGGTTTATAGGGTTTTTCTTACAGAGAGCAAGAAATGGAAAATTCAGAGGCTTTTAATCGACAGGTGAAACGTCTGTAATCAGCTAGGTTTTCTAATGTGCCATCAACAATTCAATCATGGTTTTATCGTGGTTTTGACCTCTGTCTTAATGTAATCTTCTCTTATCCTGTCTGTCACATTGAGCAGGGAATTCAAAAAGACAACAATGAAAGACATTTCATGAAGGTGAGAAGTCGAAAATGCACATAGAATAGCTTCTTGATGATAAATAAGTGATTCATCTTAGGTGAACATAACAAGTTTGTGAACATAACTATCTTTGCATTTTAACATCTGCTCTTCATTAAATGGAATTGACATGATGACTTTTTCCAGACAGAAAAGAGGAAACAAAAGACTGAGAAAAGGTAAAAGCATTAAAGATAAGTTTATTGTGCAAAAGGGATGAAAGCTGACAAATGAGCTTTGGTTAGTGCAGAATATGAAGGGAAAAATCTTGCTGAGAAAATGAAATCAGATTACAGAAGAAATAAGAGGCTTGAGTTCACACAAAACTACATAAATGCAAAATATGCCACACAAGAATTCTTCAGTATGTATCTTTTTATACTGTACATATTTGCCTATGTGCATCCATCGGATTTATATTAAAACAATTATTCATTAACAAACTATGCACATCAACAGGGTGAGCATCAAGGTTTGCTTTCTCATCGTGTTGTTGTCAGACATTGAAAACGGTCTAACATTCGGCCAAACTACAACTAGAATAGTGCTATAATACAAAATTACTTATGTTATGATCAACAATTAAATAACACATTAAACAAAACAAAGCTTTCACAACTACACATTTAGCACTCGTGCTGAAACACCATGGTGCCAGTCTCTCAGCTTGTTGTACATGTGTCCTATAACTTCTGGATCCAACTTGTTCAGTCTGATTTGCCCCGTAAGAAAAGTTTTGAGAAATGAAAAGGAGAAAGAGAAAAGGACAGAAAAGTAGTTAGGGAAAGGAGAAATGCAGTAAAAACAAAATTTTAAAAAGACACAGGAGAAACAAAAAACTCAATGAAAGAAGAGGCTTTCTCCTGACAAAGCACATGTGTAACATTTCCTCTTACTTTAAGAGCAGTCCCCGGGATAAAACCTCATTGAGCTGAAAAGAGAAAGGTTCTCTATCTGACTTGACTGCTGCTCCCCACATTACTACTAAATAACCACAGCTTCCAGGGAAGGACACACTAATCAGACGGTGATTTGGAGCGCTGTCTGTGTTTTACTGTCGATTAAATCGACTTTAAACTGAGAGCAGCGGTGGTAATCACAGCCTCTGCTGACTCTATTGCCGTCTCCATTGTGGTCTCTCCCGATTAAACCTTCACTGCATGATACTGTAGGAGCATAAGATCAGGAAATATGGGCTTAACTCTAAATCCTAGCCCCCAAGACAAGTTTTTGAGAAGATTGTAATGGCCCAATCAGAATGTTAAACCCTTAGAGAGAGAAATGGATAACACAACTGTTGCTAAAACACATGCATTGCTTCCTATAAATGTAATTCAAAGGACTGAGATTGGCCAACTGAAAACCGTTGCATACGCTCTAATTAAATCATAATAGAAAACCACCAACTACTTACTTCTTTCCACCGTTCTCTGCATTTTGCTCTGCATTAGAGAAGGAAAAAAAGACCAATGAGGATATAGTAAAAGACAGGATAAACGGTCATTGAGAGCACTAACTGCTAAATCAATGCTGCTCCTGGCTGCAGTTTTACATGTAATTCAACATGCTCCAGACTAAAGCTGAAGTGAGAGTGTGGTAAACTAAACATGACTGGACTTCTTTGTCTGTTTTCCAAGCATTCATTACTGCAGAAGCGCCGTTCATAGCTAATATACTTCAGAAGGTTGGAGGCCCAGTATCGCATCAATCATTAAGTGATTGTAAAAGCATGTTTAGCTGTACAAAACTTCCCAATTGATAAAATAATATCCAACCTGAACACAGGTTGTACATCTTTAGGATGTAAAAAAATTCCTTGAAATTGAATGTGATCATGTAAAATGACTACACACCATTTTCGGTACCGGTCAGCTGGGCCAGGATGCGGAAAGACCGAGACTGAGAAGTTCCCGTCCTGGGGTGCCAGTCCTCTGTGTCCTCAATCAAACGCTTCTTGCTTGCATCACTCAGTGCAGGTATCCCATTATCAGGCTCCACACCAGGTTTCCTGCACAGCCAGAACAACCATCAAACATAAAAAATTAACTGGAAATATTTATAATCAATCAAATGAACACTGTTCAAAAACTATGCTGTTACTGAATTAATCATATTCATGATACAAAAATATCAGTGTTACATTTTAGAAAAAAACTCTCACTAGCAGAGGGCATAGCAACCAACACACAGTTCGCATAACACATGCATATTGAGCAAATAAACTGGTGAAACTTATAGATACTTGTTCTACAAATGGGCCTCACATCTTAGATTATACAATTACCTCCTAGGTTTAGGTCGAGGTGGAGTTCTGCTGGTAAGCAACGAGAATGTTGAGGAGGAAAATGTAAAAAGACAAAAAAATCCCAGCTCTACAGTCACATAAGCTGCTAAAAACACTTCAGCAGTAGGATGTTTTAACCTTTACTCACTTTGGAATTTTCCCTGGCAAACTATCAGAGGAGAAAAACCACAGAGTAAAAGTTAGCCAGAAAAGAAGAAAAAATTAAATGTATTGGAAAAGTTCAAGTCAGCTCCTCTAAGTCAAGCAAATTAAATTCAGTGAGAAAGTGAAAAGAAAAAAGATGAACTATACTAAAATGGTGTATTAGATTAGCATATCAGATGGTGCTAGACCACAAGATGGGAGTAATGCGCTTCCAACATCAAGGTACATCTTTCAAAAGGAATTTGACCGTGCTCCAAAATGCAGTAGTGGTTATTTCTAGTGTTAACACACAGTTTAGTGTCAGCATCCTGTTGAAAACTGGGGGTCAGTTTAATGCCAAAAGCTCAAGAACGTGTGACTTATCTCAATGTAGGCATTTATGTGTATTATTTTTTTTTTTTTAAAGGCATATGCCAGGCTATTTTTAGCCAAAGCCGAACATGTTTGGCTGGAATATTACTGGCCTTGAATAAACACACTGGCACTGATAGCAGATAAGCCAGACTGATGCGGATCTGAGTGGCATTTCGGCCAGACGTGCCAGCGTGCTGACAGCCCAGGGTGTAAAGCAACAGCTAGCACAGATGCACCTGAGAGAATGAATGAACTTTGTGAGCTGACCCACACTGGGTGCCCGGGTGTCTTTCTGATGCTGATTATTCACACGTTTGTTCAGACTTCAAAATGAGTGAGTCACGTAAGTCAAACGGCAGGAATGTGAGGTTTGTGAGGGTTAGCGCACAGAGGTGCAAGCATGCCTTTGGTAATCATAAACCATAGAGATGTGGAGGCTACCGCCACATTCCACATGGTTAGGCTGCTGCTGCAGCAGCCATTTTATCATTCAGGGCACTAACTTGAGGTCTGTCTCTTCTTCCTCCTGCGAGCAAAGAAAGGGTACATGGAAAAGAATGGAAGCCAAGAAGAAAAATAAATAAAGCAGTTGGAAGAAAACAAGCAAAGTCCCCCGACCCCGTTCTGACAGCATGAGCATAAAGTAAAACACAGAAACCACAAAAAGGAAAGCATGCATGCAGCTCACACAAATGATCGCAATGATACGCTCAACATTTAGAAGCTGACAATGTAAGTTGTAAGACAAATGAAAAGTCAACCGAAAAGACATGCAGCGGCTAAAAAGATTGACATTTCTTTTATTTTCTGTTTCTAACTAAACCAAAACAAGAAAATATTCTTCTATAATCCTAAACAGATTATGTTTCAACATCAGACTTTACTCCAGAGTCAATTTCACTGTGGACCACACCACAGTGAATCCAGTACCAGACATTTAGATCAACAATTTTTTCTAACGAACAAATATAACAAAAATGAGTATCACAGCAACTAATCCCGCTTTAACTCCATCAACTGTGAGCCAAACAGTGAGAAAAAGTCAGACAAAGAAGCCCAGTCCTGCCAAACTTTGCTCTGGCTGATTTGGTCATGAACTTTCTTTTGACAATTAACTGTCGTAAAAATTATAGCCTTTCCTTTGTCTATTTTCTATTAGTTTTGTTGCCATTTCAATGCAACCCATTTTGCAGCAAAGCTCCCAAAAATTATACAATACCTTTTGAATTTCTCTTGAATCTAAAACATAGCTAATGCAGTGCTGTGACTTTTGGCCACATAATTGAAACTATTACGTTTAAAAGGAGCCAATGCTAATTGAAATTCAGTTGGCTTAATACGGAAAGTGAAGAATTTTGTGATAAACAGCAGGCAGTTTTGAGCGTAATCAAAAACACTGCAGATAAATTAAGAAAAAATACTGAACGGCGTCTCAGTTTCATAAAGCTCCTCTTACCAGCAAGAATGGAACCATTCCAGCTGTGTGAAAATGATCAAAATCAGTTCAAATAATTGCAGTGAGCGATTATGTAATAATTTTTACACATCCATCTGTCCCTTGTTTCTTAAACCACAAAGCTGCCAGGAGTTTGGGATAATTAGAAACAAATGTTCATCCTGGTCAGTTAGATATTTCAGTTAGTAAATTGTCAAGATTCAGCTCTCTCACCAACTGCCTCAACATGATTGGAATTATATATAAAAAGGAGCCTCACATTTTCCTTGTACGCTGTGTGAAAACATAGAAGATGACTGTTTGCCTTTCAATGAGATGCATATTTTGAGGTAAGGTGTAATGGGGCATGAGGTAACGGGAAGATTAGAGTATAATATTTTCTTTAATGAATTCTTTCAGAGAGACTGCACCACAAAAATGTCCACCAGTCCGCTTCGTCTCTGGACTGAACATCTAGGCCTGTTGATAAATGCAGTTCTTTTTTTTTTTTTTAAAGGGTATGATGTCAGAGAAAACGTGATTGCTGGCTAGGACGATTGTTACCTACCCATTTACATACTCTGTGAGCCCCTGGCTCTCCAAAAGACCCCGCCTCTGCCCTACGGCCACCTCGCAAGCATTGGCACTGGAGTATAGGTTTATAGGGGTGTTATAGACAGAGGGCTGTGGGACAGTAGGATTGGAAGGGGGGGCTGTCACTCTGGCGGGTGAGGATGAGTTAGACGAGGAGGAAGAGGCAGGCGGGGACGTGAAGGTGGCGCGGCCAGGGCTGGGTTTGGGGAGGGAATTCGCTGGAGCCGAGTCTGAAGCAGCGAAGATGGACTTGAGTGGAAACGGAGGCTGCGGTGGCTGAGAGGGGGCAGCCGGGGTGAAAGCTGATGACTCTGAGGGGATGGAGGCAACTCTGGGAGCAGCCGGGGAAGACGAAGCTGCAATCCCACCGCTGACCCCCCCAAATGGCCGAGCTGTCTTGTTGTAGGCAGGAGTGGGCTGACTTATGGGCTTGGTGTAAGTGGTGTTTGCCGCAGGGTGAGTGATTGGCACAGGCTTAATGATCTCTTGAGGTTCATCCTGGATGAAGGTGAAGACAAACATGCACATACAGCAAATCCACACACACAGAAACAAAACAAAAACCCATGCATGTGGCCAAGAATCCCTGCTGGCACACCACAAACACAGTAACTGTGATCTCACACTGCTATGTGAATATAAGCTCTGAGTGGGCCACACAGGTGCTCTAACAATTGGCCTCTCAGTTCAGTAATACATGCAAAGTCAATTTCTGTCCCAATCTAATCTCAGAAGGGAACAATAAGCATGCTGCAAACATCTATAACAATGAACAAAAAGTCAATTTCAAACTAATGTGTTGCTCCATACCTTGTGCTCTCCATCTTTAGAGACAGCGGAGGGTCTGTGAAGACAAACAGAACGAGGATAATATAAATCATTATTCATTTGACATTTTACAATGTTGGTTAAATATTTAGCAGTTTACAACTTTGAGAGTCAGCCTTCAGTCTGTGGTCCAATCCCGTTTCTGTGGAACACTATCAGGAATTTGGCTTTTGTTTGTTTCGGTTAGGGTTTTACCAGTGCATGCCAAATTAAAAGGTCTAGCTCAAACCCACAGTGGCTTCAGGTTCAGATTAATGAGTACTGCCAAATAAAAATGAAACACAACAAGTGGAAGATAAATAATTCATTTACATAATGTTTCTTCAATGTCAAAGTAATTTTAAAGACTCCAAAAGATGAATATTCAAAACTAAAACTTTTTGTGTGATGACTGTTCTTTAAATCTTTTTAAAATATAATCAATGTCTTAAAAAGTCCGGGCTTCAGGATTTTAAGTGGCTTTTATCCTAAATGTATTATTTTGAATGAATTTGTAGAACTTGGCATTTTTGCAATTGAACACTTTGTTTGTTAAAGCGTACTAGTGTGGGAGAGCAGCATATTTCTGATTTACACTTATGACTAAAGCAGCTGCCACGGCTTTAACTCCCAGTGAGAGAAGAGGGCGATTTGCTCGTCTCTTCTTCCTTCTTATCTTTCTCTTGAGAGGATCTGGAAATTGAAGAATTGTAACATCCCCTTTTGGGGTCTTTTTACTCAACATTAAAATTCCAAAACCCTTAGGATTATTGTCGTGGCTTAATACATATTATAACCACCATTCATTCAATTACTTTGTGTCAAAACAACAAAGAGTTTGTAGGGCCTCTTCAATATCTTCAAATACATTGCTAGTGAAGAACTGAAACTCAGATGCAGACAGAAGACAATGGGTGAGCTGAAATAATGAGTCCCTCATTACTCATAATAACGAAATAGAACAGAAGTGAGAAAACAGATGCTGGGTTGAGAAGGGCTGGTTCCGGCTCAGTCACAACAGTATGTCCTGTGGCTCCCTTCCTGTTTCTGCCCTCCTATCAGAAAAACAGTCAACAAACTCACACATTTCCTTTCTCACTAAAGCTGACAAACTAACTGAGCCTACAACCAGGTTGTAAAACAGCCCCACCCTAAGGTCACATGCTGACGCCATCCTCATGCTTCCATTTACAGTTTTCCACTTGACGGCTAATACACACTCCGCGTGTTTTCCAATAAGCCTCTCCAATGTATTATTGTGATTGCTTATGGAGAAAGATCGCACTGTGCCAGTGAAAACGGCAAAAGGTTGAAAGATCAAACAGCACAGGCCAGTTCAAACAGAAAGTGCTCTATAATGGGACGGCTGTATGCGCTATCAGTGTCCCAGACTCGGACAGCTGGGTGGATTCATTCTCTGTCTGCCTTTTCCCAAAGCAAACTGAAAAAACACTTGCCAGGGTGGTCCCCTGAACATCTGCTCAGCTCGGACCCTCTGCTGTCCTGCTCTCTGCACAGCTGGACCTACTTTTGTTCTGCTATCAGATATAGACAAACACCCCGGGTAATCTAGGATATTTCAGATTTCTGGGGTTCAGATATAAATGTTGATCAATTCCATCCTAATAGTAAGTGGTTTTTACTGCTAAATGAAGGGATGAGTGTGCTTTTCCCCCTTTAATTCAAAAGCTAAGAATCCCTTCATTATACTTCATGAAACTTAAAGTCCCGTGCTATCCAAACGAGCCACAAAGGGTTTTGGTTGATTGGAAAAAAACAACTAAACACATTCACAATGGCAAAATCAAAGTCTGATCTTCTGAGGTGAGTCAGATTGTTAACAGTAAAGAGAAAACTAACTGTGTCTCAACAAGTCTTCTCCTTCCTGCTGATTTAATCACGATGCATCACTTTAGTAGATCACAAATGAGAATATCTACTTTCTTTTAAACTGCAGAGCACATTTATACAGAAAGATTCCAATCAAACGCAAAAGAAACTGGGGTAGAACTAAATAAACATTAGATGAGCTTGACAGCAGAAGACAACTTGGACGAGAAAAAAAAAAAGTGGAAAGTGTGGTTTTCATCAACACAGACGTGCCTGTGTACCCACCCTGTCACACACACACACACACACACACACACACACACACACACACACACAGCTCCAGCGAAAGAGAATGAAGAGGTTAACAGGAGGAGTAAGCCTGAGGGCAAAGCACACTGACGCATTTCCACCCTGCCTCCGTCTCTTTGAGGGCCAAGAGAAACAGCCTGGTATATGGCATTTGACTGAATGATGGAGAGCCTAATAGACACAGCTTTCGCAACACATGTTCACTCTTTACCAGCCTACATATTCAGTCATTTAACAGGGAAAAAAAACTGTTCAAATATAAGAAGTCTGTCATTTTTCTACGATCCTTTCAGAAGCCAAGGCTCTGCAGACTAAGAAAAACTGGGTTTAATTTATTACAATGACATACTGCAAAGCAGTGACTCTCAGCATGCCTCAGCTCTGTCTTCTGTTCACCTCCCTGCTCTCAGTTTTGTTTAATCTAATTAAAGCAAGCTAGAAATCAGAACTTGACAAGGATATCATAAGTTATATGAAACGGCAGGGTTGAGTGCATTTCATTCATGCGATTACATTATTTCAAAACTTTGTTGACCAGAATTGCTCTTTTACGTTTGACTTGTTTGAATAATGTTTAAATTGATAGAAGGGGACTTGCCAAAGGCAACATGAGGGAGAGAAAGAGAAGAGAATAAAACACAGCAGAGTGGTTTGTTATTAGTTATTTCAAAAAACAGTTTTTTATTGAAGCTTCCCTATGTATCCCCTCTCTCCCTTTATATTTCTCGAGGAAAAGGGATAATATAGATGTACACCAGTCTGAAGTGACATTTCACTTGGAAAAAAAAAGAAGGATTCAGTGCACAGTTGGAGATTTACAACAGCTACAGAGCTAATAATGACAGAAATATGTTATGGTGCGCCAGAGTAAACGCAAATCAGTAAATAGCCGGCTTGGCTGCTGCTGTCAGTTGCCTGGATACTTTACAAACTTGACTGTTGCTGTGTGCGTGTTTTCTGTTTGTCCACACACTGTGCTCTCCTCCGTATCAGCAGTCACATGCACTCTACTGACAGAAGGCATCCATGCCAATAATTTCCATGTGCCAGCCTCTGAATAGAACAGCTCAACACTGTGAGCATGTTAGCACCCATCACGTGCGATTCTCTTGGCAAGAAAATCTGTAATCAAAAGTTGATTCTCTATGCAAAACATGATTTTCCGGTTTGCGTGTAAATTCATTTAGCAGCCACAGCTCAAAAATAGATTGAACGGGGCATCAAGGGGGATTTCCTTGAGGTTAAATCACTGCAACCACCACAAAATAAACTATGCTTTAGTTTATGTGTCTCAAATGCACGTCAAAGCAATCTAAAAAGCCCCCCCATCTTTTTTTTTTTCTTGGTTTTCTTCCGACCACCCCACCACATCTGGCTAAGGCAGCCAGGAGTCAGTGGGGGCTCTCTGCTGTATTGGATTGTCCTGCACTTCACCCAGTATCAGAATAGCTTGTCGGGTGTATTTAAGGCTGTGACTACATGTGAACATGTCTGCAGATTGAATCCAGAACACCCTCGCAGCTTAAGGTTTTAGATTAACTTAAATAAATCTAAAGTTATGCAATCAAAGGAGGTTAAGATACACGAAGGAGAAATTCTCACTTTAACAGATTGATGGATGTTCCCCTTGTGATTTCTTTTAAGGTTTAGTGAGCAGAAAAATCTTTCAAAATCTTAAAAAAAAAACTGTACATCAGATAAATACATCACAACACTGTCATCCAAGAATGTAATCCATAAAAAAAAGGAATAACAAGATCAGTATCATCATCTTTGAGGTTTTGGAACCAAAAAGCACGAAGCCACAACCTCTTGGACGTGCTGCTTGTTTCATCGTCCTGTGCTGCATATTTCAATGACAATAAATAAACATCAATTATCGTAGTTTCTTAAGTTTCCCACAACTGCTTCGTGACCGTTAGCTGCTCAGCCACAAGGCTGCCATGCTAAGAAATGAAAACTACAGCCCCAACGTGTTAAAAAACAAACGCTAAGACTTCAAATTATAGAGACATCACTCTGCTCTGGTCATATATACGGCAGGATCCAGCTGTAAAAAAGATTGAACATTACTACTTTGCTTTTAACAGGAGCTGTACTGCCACAAAACTTTAGCTCAGTAAATACACTGTGCTGCACCGCAAACATGTCTCATTTTGTCATCTTTTCTTAAAACTTCTTTCACAAATTAACCACATAATAACTTTGCTCATTCAGTCTCAACAAGTTGTCAGTTATTAATTGCTGTCGGCTAGAAAACAGGATAGGCAGGTTACTTCCACCATTCATTTCCTCTCAAATGAAAACATGTTTGTCTTTAACCTGGATGCACATTGGAAAATGCATCAATTCTATTGACAGTTTGTAAGAGAGCTTTAGATCTCATCTCTTCAAAGATCAAATTTTTGCAGAATATAAGTGTATCCAAATTAACATGTTCAGTTTTGTCAAATTTATTGTGAAACTGCTAATAAAGTGCAAACAAACATAGAACTAGACAATGTTTCTCTCACCCTGATTTTTTTTTCACACTTGAATATCCGTATAGTTTGGATGTTCAAGTGTCTTGTTATGAAACTACTTGAAGAATGTAAACTATGACAAAGTGACATAATGGGACAACACTGCAGTCCCATAAATCTTCTCTTAGCGCCCTTCTACTGTGTTATGACACCAGCAATCTTATCAGGAATTATTAAAACTGGAAACCACGTTTGTTTGGGCCATGGTTGGGATATGAGTTTAGCAACAAAAAAAAAAAAAACATTCTTAGAGTTTGAGTTTGTTTATGTGTTTTCTTCTTGATGCTGCCTTTAATTAGTTTTTTTTCCCAGCTGTTTTTCTCTAATCATATATCTTCTTGTAAATTAGTAGCTAACTGTAATTTACCCTAATAAAGAAAATAGATTGCATCTGCCCTGTCCGTTTTCAGCAAGAAAAAGAAAAAAAGACAAGTGTAGAACAGACATCATATTTTGTTTCTACTCTCAATGCATCACGAGGCAAAAAAAAAACATTTCACATACCTGTCTCTAAAAATAGAATCCATAAACATAGCAGCCCTCAATTATGCAGTATTTGTAACAAGAATACCCCTGTTGTTTTGGTGGGAGATTTTAGCTGTAGTTTACATGTACTGTGAGACCAGAATGTTTGATGTTTCACTATGCATCCATTACCCACACAAGATTATATACAGCTGTGGGACAAGACTATTTTCAGTCAGTTTTCCCACGATTAAAGCACAGAGACCTCTTTCTCCTTTGATGTGGTGATGGAATGACAGGACAAGCAAACCAGACTTTGAGTTTTGCTGTCAACATGGTTTACAGCTTTTAAAGTGTGCGTGCTTTTCCTCCATTTGTCTGCGTCCAACACGAAAGCAACTCTTCCCTGGTCCAAAAATATGGTTACCTTAACTGTTCACTTTAATCAGCCATGACCCTGAAATACCACTGAGCACATCATCATCCCTACCACTACCGCTGCTCATCTGTTGCTAGTCTTAATACAGCCTTTTTAAAATGTTTCCATTGAATATTACTGTGAATTTTGGATCCAAAGTGTGTCTATTTCAAAGTATAATTTATCTACCAGTAGGATATTCTATATTCTCAGTCATTTTTTCTTAGTTCAAGTTTTTTTATATACAGCTGACAGCTGTAGACAGAACAGAGGCTTTGAAAACTTTCATTCAAAGTATTCTTAATACATCACTTAGGCTTAAGAACCTCAAGGGCTCAGAATATTATATTTTGCCTAATGGGAGGAACAGAGGAAAAGCATGATCACATACCAAACTAAATGTCTTCGACAGACTGTGTGCCATACCAGGACGGAGGAACATGTGGTGGCAATTGGTGAATAGTGTCTCCATTATAACCAAAAATTAAGACAGGGCATGCAGAAATGCTTCATATCCTCTGAGTGTAGCTCATTGCCATCAGCTTTAGGGATTTTCATTAAAAGGTTTTCTGTCTTTGATCTGCCGGGGATCGGATGGCAGAATATAATCAAACTCACTGCAGTTAAACTGGAAGGTAAGTGGAATTTCTTTTAAATGTTTATCATTAAGATCTAATACAAAAAATACAATTGCTGTGAGCTGAAATGTACTTTTCCAAGCGTGCATCACTATCACGATGATTTTACTCCCTCACAGCAAGCTTGTTAAAAAGCACTTAAGCTGACGCTACTGCACAAGTAGCAACACGCTTCTCCTGACTGTTTACCATATCAAACTAGAGTGGTGCACAGACACGAGAACTGTTTTAAATTAGCAAGACGGGGCTTCTTCGCTTTCAGTCATGAAATGGTTTGTTTAATTAACCAAATAAAAAGCAAATGATGAAGTCAAGTGCCCCGTGCTGTTTAACATATCATTTAGGAAATGGCTGTTGATTATTTTCCTTGCATTTCCTTTGTTTGGCAAAAAATTTGTTTTAGCTTCTGGTGCTGGTTATATAAAGTGGTGCATACCCATCTGATTAAATCTGGGAGCTGAAGCGCTCCTTTTTCTTCCTTTTTTACTGCCTTTTTTTTGCCTTTTGACTAAACCTGCAGTACTTCAGGTAATCTTATTTAGTGATCTGTCCATATGTCTAATAAGTTTATTTTTTTGCGTTACGACTTCAATTCTGTGCACATGTTTCCAACAGAAGTCACTTTACACATTTATAAAAGGTTCAGAGAGAGAAACTGTGTGCAGAAAACTATCACAAGTGATTCCAACTGTTCTTTAAAAGCACCACAAGGACCTGCACAGTGTTATGTTACAGACATCTACTGATATTTATGGATTCTTTTTACACAAAATGTGTGCGTGTGTGAGTGTTTGGTAGTTATGCACCAAGCATGCATGTGTAAAACTGTTACCTCTGCAGAGTGAGGCTGAGATTGCCTGTGCAGGCCTTAATCTTGTTCTGGGCCTCAAGGTGATTCATGCTTTCTGTGGAAACGCCATTAATAGAAAGAATGATGTCTCCAACAGTCATCTTGGCGCTGGCTGCCTTGCCCCCCTCAGTCAGCTGTAATGACAGAGTGAAAGGTTTGAATAAAAGATTTATTCAAAACATAATCAAATTGAAGTCAATGAAAATGTATGCACACAGAAATTGGTCTTCTATCAGAAAAGGTTTTTCTCTTTCAGGAGGTGTCCATAAATAACTGAAGAAACACAGATGTATTTGTCTGTCATACTCTGTTATATTTTTCACATATAAAACAGAAACATCTCTCAAATGAGAAAATGCTTTGTTGATTTATTTCTTGTAATCACGGAGCATTGTGATCTCCTTTCCGTTTCCTGTCTCATGCAAACCTTATCAGATTAGATTGGCATCCGATTCTCCTCACAACATCGACTTCCCAGCATTCGAAGTACACGACCCTTCATCTACTAAATACAATATGGCCATGGAAAAGTGAAAGTCCAAAAAGACCAAACGGTCACAAATTAAAATCCCATGGTCCACAGGGTTGCATGGTAATCGTGAAAATCTTTGGCAAGTAAATGAAGAACATTCAGAGACATGGACTGAGGCCATTCCAGGCTCTTCTTTGCTCGTTCATTAATCCCAAACAGTTTTGGACTATATTTATATCTGTATGCAAATCTTGATAAATAATTGTGACCACATGCAAACCTTGTTCGTCACACCTCCATGGGTGATCAAACTTCCATATCGTGTAAAAATGTATTTTTTTAAGAGGCTATACAATTTCCAAAGCAAATGAAAAAAAGAAGATGGCTTTATAGGTAGTGTAAAAAGTGAAGAGGGAGCACGTGAAACCTTGAGATTTTGATTAGGGCTGAAAGGGAAAGATCATAAAAGTGTCTGTCTGACCGTCAACAGTGTTAGGTAAAGGTGTGGCTTATCAGGCCTTCAATCCAATTCCACCTTGCTAAGACTTGCATACAGCACATGAGAGGCGATGCAATAAAACCATGACGACAGCGTGACTCCCTGCCAGGTGTGGTGAGGGCTCAGTGATTATGTAAGACCCTGCTCACCTCATCAGTCAGTCAGCACACTCCCAACACTCTCAGAACCTGTGCAACCAGGCCGGCTGCCAAAAGAACTCCACGTACTCATTATCTCATATCTACTTTATGACAATCATAACTCCACTTCATCTTTCAACAGAGTGAAGGAACATATTCAGAAAAGGTAACAGAGGTGGATGAAGAGGAAACAAGAGGATTTTTTGTCTGATGATTTAATCTGTTCACACCACTTGGATTTAGTTATCAGAGCAGAAGCCAGAATTCCCTGCACAGAACATGCAAGTTTGCAAATGTATATCTGTTATGTTCAGCCCGTTATCTTCAGTCCCACAGTGTGGAGTGAAGCTATTCACATAAACCAAACCTATTCAGACAGAAAAACACTAAACAAGATATCCTCTTTCCCCACTGCCAGAAAAATGCGTACAGGTTAGGCAAGTCTAAAAGCGCCCATTGTGCCATTGTTCTTACCCTCCAAATAACAAAATAGAGGAAAAAGTGGGAAGGACAAGGAGAAAGAATGAGGAAGTGACAGCACTTGTGGCAGTAAATGCCATTTTTGGGGGGATGGGGGGGGGGGGGGTTCCTGCTTTCCTGGGGTCTGCTCAAATAGTTTTTTTTTAATGCTTACTGAAAGGCCCAGAAGTTTGGATGTGAAAATATTGATAAAGCCTCATCAAATTATTTTGAGGGAGCTTCTTTTAGATCCCCTTTTCAGCAAAGGAAATTAGATCATTTTGTCCTACAATTCCTTATGAGCACAACATTGAATTCAGCCCCATAGTACTTCCATACAGTCATACTGACTCAGGTTTATTAAAATAAACATGGGTAAAATGGGAGACAAATTTAGGTGCCTTTCTTTCATGACAAAATGACAAACCTTTAATACAACATTTTCTATCAGAACTAATTACCATAGTGTGATATAAAACAGCATGTTAACATATAAACACAATTAACTCGGCGTTTAGGGACACACATTTAAGGCTCCACCCTTGTTTTGTTTCCAGCCACATCAATAGAAGGAAGTGTAGAAAGCATAGCTTAGACTAATGGTATGCATACCAGCATCTATAGTGCAGTCACATGCTAAGTACCCCCAACAAAAGACAGGGTACTCCCAAAACGCAGCCTCAGCCTCAAACTTCAGCTGAATCACTCGCTCATTAAAAGGCCTGACACAGACTCACAGATACACATGACAGTATTTACGGAGTCTGACTGGTGTAGTTTCAACAGAGCAACGCGGCGCTCTTCACTGCAATAAAGAGACTGTAAGCACACATGAGAGATCATCTGGCATCTGGCTCTGCCTCCACAGCTCCACAGATCAATGGAAGGGAAAAGCAGCAGAGGGGTTGTTGAATACACACGTCTCTCCCTGTCCCACAGCGTTTGTCAGCGTCTGTTTGTGTGTCGAAGAGGAAAGGGTGAGAGTGGAAGCGGATCTGAACTCCTGTCCTTGTAGGGATGTGATAAAAGACAATACTATGTGGTTCTATATATGGCGATTACTCCAACATTTAGTGAGAGGAGAAGGATCGCGTATCAGTCCCAGCGAAAAAATGCTTGGCTAACAGCGTTTAATGCTGATGTCTGTGGCGAACAGAGAGCACTCTGTAACTCCAAACTTCTTTCACTCAAACACAGTCTTTCTCATGTGGATACAAAACAAATAGAATGTTGGGTAAGAATCCCTGGCATGTGCGGTCTATAAATATAAATCAAGAGAGGTCTGAGACACTCGTGACGGAGAGCAGATAAGTAATGGACAGCAACTCTGGCTGTGCAGCCACAGTTCTGTCAAGAGAGCAGGCTGTTTAAGCAAATCTTATTAGACGCTTCATATAATTTAATGTGGGCAATAAAAATTCTGAGCCATTTTAATCTTTACGTCAAAAAAAAAAAAAAAGCCAATACGAGATTGTTTCAGACAGAATAATTTAAAGAATTAAAAGGATACTAGAGATCCTGCTGATCATTTCTGCCTTCTGAATGAAGAGAGTATCTGTCCAACTGTGTTTACATGAATGGGATTCCAGCCACATAATGGTGAGGCTGCTGTTCTGTGGTGGTCCTCTCCACACCGCTGATTTCAGTGCTGTGCAGCGGCTGACAATAGCTGGTCCTTCAATAGCTGTGCTACAACTTCAGTACGGTCTGTGCAAACACAGCTTTAACTTCCAGGTATTTATAAAATAGTTGTAAATAACAGAGATTCTAGCTCATTCAAAAGGTAAATATAACGTTGCCATATCTATTTTTGGTATCTTTGTGGTCCTTGTGGAGGAACTTTCCAGTTGTCCTTTTGTAAAGAAAAGCATTTTGTATCTCTTTAAAAAAAACACTATAAAAACTACCGAGTGAATCAGAAGCCAAGAAGAAAAGACCATACTGCCTCCATATGTCTTTTAGTCATCTAATATACTGTCATAAAATAGAGTCATAAAATGGATCTAAAGACAGTTCAGACTTAACTGTTTAATTTTAGTTCGACATTAATGTTTAAAATGTAAGGAAACGCTCTTTGAAAAGGACGGGAGAAAAAAAAAACGCTTAGCTCAGCAATCCATTTATTAAACACTTCAGATGATGTTTTTAGCATCACATTTCATCATTATGGGAATAATAATCATCTCCAATGTTGGTCAGTGTGCAACTTCCTGTCTTTGGTGAAAGTATGGAGTAAGGAGGGCTGTGGCCATTTCACATCTGTGAAGTCATGTTACAGGAAGCGTCTTGTGGTGAGAGTTGGAAGGCCTGAGATGCATGTCATGTCTGTGTTGGATGGAGTAATATAGAGGACCTTATATGGAAAAGAGTTGGGCTCAACGTTATGTCAACACAAACATAAGGCAAATCAGACTAGCCTGTTAATTTTTTTGTCATTAAAACGCTGATTTGCATTAACTTGGTAACAGACTTCCTCTTTGCTAGAGATTGTTTGGTGCTTTGTAATACCATTATTCTTATTCAAATGCAATATGACTGAAAAGTCTTGCATGTTTTATGGATTTAATGAAAAGGTTTGCTCTGTAAAAATTATTTAAAAAAACATATGATCCATTTAATTTGCCCAGACAATAATACAACACAAAGTGGCGAGCAGAGGTCTAACGGCAGATGTCTGTCTTTTAGGCTTTTGCACCTTGTACAAACTGCTCAAATTGTAAGGTGGAAAAGAAATGTTAGCCTACCCAAACCATTACGTCATGGTGCTGCTTAGTCAGCAACTCTGGTGGAATTTTAACTGTAGAGGGCAACTTGTAAAACCTCAAAAGCCGTCATCGCATGCCTGACAATGAAGCCATGAGATTGTCACCGAACATTCTCTGAAGGCGACGTCACTGTAGTACTTAAAAAGAATAGATCCCAATTCCAAAAGGTTTTCATTTACCACACCAAGTGGTTTTGGGCTACCTTGCTCACAGCTTCTGAAAATGAATAGACTGAGGCTATTAAAAAAAACAATTTTGACAGTTAATTTTTCGTTGAGCAATTTAAAAATCGGAATAGTTTTAAATCGTGACCAAGATTCCGATGAGTAACAGAAAAGGCTCCGGACCAAGCAAAGCAGGTGAGGTGTTGATAATATAAATTTTGGTGATAATAGCTGGCCAGGGAACACATATAAAGAGCTGTTTTCTACCCAAGCCAAACGTGCCCATTACAGGACATTAAAGGTAGACAAACGGTTGTCACGGTTTGACCTCAGCCTCCAACTGCACCAGGCTGGCAGCTAGAAAACACGCGATGCCAGGAAGATCTTAAAGAGGCTCTTAGTCAAACTGCCATGACAACCCAAATAAAACAGGCACAGAAGGAAAACCCTGCACTGAATACTGAGTGCTCTGGTCAGAAACAAAGATGGCTGGCAAACGCCGCACAGCCAGAAAAAGCTAAAGGAGTTTTGTACACATGATGTGTGCCAGGTGCCTAGTGCCACCATACATGGTCTGTGCAACTTTTATCTTTCATTCATTTTTAAAGTTACAATTATGATATTTCTCCTTCTGTTTGGATAGCAGACACTTGCTGCACTTACAGTAAGATAGGCTGCCAATAACTGTTGGCAGCGATGCAGTCAGGGTTGTAGTCCAAGTTCAAACCATAAATACAGATCATGTGCGGTGGTCAGTTGTGTCATTGGATTAACAGCATACGCACTCATTTTTATTATACGGAACAAATCAAATCAGAGAAAAAGAGGAATTTTCCTTTAGAAGCATTTCGTCCAGAAATGTGAGTGGTGTAAATCAAAATCAAGTGACAGCATAGTAACTCTTTATAGCTCTGCCATATTATATTAGAGAGAATAGAAGCAGATGCCCTCACTACAACTCAAAACAGGCATTAACTGATCATACTGGGATCAAACACATACTGCAGATAACAGTTTATACTAAACCCATATGTAACCTGCGAGCAAATCCATAACCCTGAACGTTCAAATTTATTGTAAAACATTTTTAGGGTAAATGTTTATGCACAATTGTGGAACAACTGACAAAACCACATTACTTTCTTCAACACATCAAACTAAGTGTTCCTTTATCCAAGGAGCTAAATTAGCATTTCAATTAGTTGAAAAACTTTTAGTATTTTACACATTTGAATGCATTAACATGTTTGATATTCATCACAGATTCCTTTAGTTGAAACTATCACCAGCTCAGTGAAAAGTGAAGCAAAACAAGATGTCAAAAATACCCAAATGCATCCATAAAAATGGGTTTATCTGCTTGTATTTCAGCAGTAACATATACAACTTTGACTGTGAGCTCAAATATGTGGAGCAGCTAAATCTCACAGGTCAGTTTCCCCACCATTTCACAGAAGCCTGCTGAATATGCTGAGAGGAAATTAAACTGCAGCCCTGGCTGGCTTTCCAAGTTCTGGATTTGAAAAGATTCAGAAAAATGTCTGAGAAGAATAACGGCTGGTGAATAAAGGCCATGTTTAAAGTCAGATCAAAGAGCATGGTGAAGACTGCTGCAGACAATATTAAAATTACAATACTTGCAAAGTGAGTTTTCACCCTGGAAACTCACTTAAGCAATGTTCATGAAGGGTTTGGTCCGAGCAAAAAAAGTCCACAGCATTTTCCCATTTATTATATCTTTAGTTCAAAGAAGGTCAACATTTCAGTCGCCAGTACAGAAATATTATTCCGACAAAACAGAAATTATATATTTTTAAATGATTACCCAAAATAATAATTCATCTCGAGTGTTGAAGTGGTTTGCCCTGATACATTACATGTAACTACCAGCCTAGAGAATGTGACGCTTAAAAAAAGAACACATCTGGAGGGAAAGAGCCTACTGGAAACACGGAGCTAAAATTAGCTTGTATAATGTTCTCACTAAATATTACAAGCAACTAAAATCAACATGAAAGACTAGAAAAGGAAGAAAAGACTCAGAGGGAAAATAAACTCCTCTCTGACCCCCAAATGGCAACTTGTTAACAATTTTCATGCTTAAGCAGGAATTCATCTCAAAATAACAACATTTTAACTATGTTCGTCAAATGTGGAAGCTTACACAGAGGTAGAGAAACCTGGGATTGCTTGAAAAGGTCCTATTGAACATACTGAACAGAGACATGTGCATAAGTGGGCCATTAATCATCCATAAGGGACTGGGTGGTCCCCCTTACAATACAGATCTGAACTGTTTCAAGCTTGATCTTAATCACAAGATGTACATTTAAAAGAAACAATGATCTTTTTCTTGTATGTTCCATGGACATTTTCTGAACACATTCACTACTGAGATAAATATTTAGTTATTATTATATTTACTATTACCAATGTTCGGTTTCACTAATTATATGTGTCTTAGTACATATGTTTATTAAGCATGATTATACCAAACCAAAGTTAAAACTTACCATACAAGGAATCTGGATAATTGTATGTTGTTGTCCTGTGCATTATATTCTGTATGTAATTTTTAAAATTGGCTACATATGGTAAGCATATGTAGTCATTACATCATTATTCCATGGCAACACTATCAATCTGGGCAAAATAAACAGAAGCCTTCATGTGATGCCAACAGATGCACATTTGTTCCAACAAAGTCATTCTATTTAACATTGTAGGTCTCTAATGAACCTTAAAATAAGCCCGAGGTCAGCACAATTTTCTCCTCACACATTTAACGAAGGCACTGCAGCAGTGGTGGTAGCAGATGTTTCCAAGTAGACACTGTCTACAAACTAATTTCTTCCGGTTAAAAAAGAAAAACTCAATATGATGAAGTTGTGACTCATATAAATACAGAGCATTATTTATCACAGGACACAAGCAACATGTACGATCTGGTGGCTTTGCCGAGTCCTTTACTGGTTATGATCTTGGACACAAAAACTAAATGTTGCATGCTAACCAGTACTGTGACTGTCAGAGTCCTGTTGTCTGACTAAGCATTACTCTGGCATGCTCCACACCACAAATGATTCAACACAGGGCTGCTGGTGGACACAGAGTATATTCAACACTTTTATGGCCCATGAAGTAGCTAGCAGACACCATAACCCACAAAGGCTTGTTGGAACAACCACATCACAAGCACGTCGAATTTTCATATATCCATGTTTACAAGCCTTTCTGGATAATTTCCCAAATTCACCTGTGACCTTTTTCATTTGCGGCCTCTGAAAATGTGACATGGCACATCTGAGTCCAATTTTCATTCTTCCTGTGTGTTTTATTCTGCAGAACGTACACGGTTCTGAGATTCCCGTGTCCTAACTATGACTTAATCAATTTCAAACTCATGTCTAAGAGAGACATTTCACTGCTGCTTTTGTAGCACCTTAGGAATTCTAAGATAAACAACCTTATCCTACCTACGCAAATAATCATATCTGCTTGGGAGTGTGGAAATGCTTTCTTCAAGAGCTGTTTCTTTTGTTTTGTTTTTTTTGAATGATGACAAGAGGTCCACTGACAACACAATGTCCAACATACCACAATTATCACAGAAACTGAACTTGAAAACAGTCTCAGAAGCCATGCCGACCTTTTAACACAGAGTAACTACGTCCTGACACAAATGAGAATGCATTACCAAATGAGAGAGACACATTTCTTTCTACACATCAGGCTCTAAATTCCGTAAGTGATCCTGCCAACAACAAATAAACAGAGGAACTGACCTTGTTCATGACACTGAGATTAGAGTATCATAACAGGAAGCAGCGAGAACTGAATGACACTTCTCATTCTTCATGAGTCAAAGTTGGACCCAAAGCACAGCCTATACTGGGGAGAACAAAATGTCTACTTTTATTGTATTTGACAATATAAATCACTACTATAACTGAGACACTTAAGTAAAACTCAGGTCAAAATAAACATCAGTGTGTGCATGGAATGTTTCCTTTCATTTCTGCTATATTTTCAAAGAGTCCTCTTACACTATGCACACAAATAATGGTACTGTGCATATGCCAACCCCAAAACTTTTCTTTTTGTCACAAACAACTACCTTTTTTTCTGACAATGAGCCATCCCGCTGAAAGAGGAAAACTTGAAAGAATCTGGTCAGTCCAGTATGAATTTATGTGGCACGCAGTCCAAAATAGTTATTACAGAACCATTGCGGCTTACTGGGGTTTCAGTCAATTGAGCCATTTAAGAACAGTTTCAGAAGCTTCTACAGCAGACCGAGCACAAAACGGTCTCCTGTGTATTCGATCAGGGCAAATACCAGGAAAAAGAATCCGACAGGACATTTAGTCGTTATCCCTCAATTGAAGACCCGAAATGCCATCCACCGTTCACAGCTGTCTGCATCACAGCCAAACATTCTAATATATATTTGACACCGACAGATGATGTTGTCAAAGCTATGTTATGTAAGATTATCTTAACAACAATTGGCATGACAGGAGGTGGGCAAAAGCTTTGAGGACTGAGTTACAGACCGTGAACTGTTAAAGAAGGTCTAAATCCAGCAGCAAGCGTCACAGAGGAGACAAATGGGACTTTCATCACGACGAGGCAAATGGCAAAATGTGCGTGGATGGCATTCCTCTGAGGTGACTGTTACAAAGGGAAGGGTACACAAGTGGCACGTGAGTGTGTTCCACTCACCCGTGAAATGGTGAGGGGCAGACAGAAGTCCTTTCCTCCTTGGAGCCTGAAGCCCCATGGAGCGGGGCCGGCCAGGGAGACGCTGTAACTGCTGCTCATGATGCACCTGAAAACAAAACAGGAATTTTAAACTCTACTGGACAACACACCCCCCATCACACACATAATAATTAAAAAGATCATGTTTACTGAAAAAATATCAAACTGAGGATGCTACACGCTACTGATGGTCAACCAGCTTATTACCTGAGTGCTGGAGGTGCCATTATGGATTTGTGTCTTTTAAAACAGTAAGCTATTCAACTTTAGGCACCAAACTATTAACAATTTTCAGGAGCTCCAAGCTCTCCAGCTCGTGCTCTTTAGCTATGTCGTTTACAGTGTGGGAAACCGTGAACCTGCAATGTATTTTCTATAGTTGTTCTATAGACGGCCATCTAAATAGTATGTTTTCTCTTGCTATTTTTAGAGAGCATCATGTGCTGTTCCGCTCATGCTTCAGCAAATTGGACATGGGTAATCATTGAAAATATTTTGTTTACCTTACAAACAAAGTTTGAGCTCTGCTGAATCTGAAGCTGCTCTTTGGACACATCATGTCATAATTTTCTCAAAAAAAGTCCCAGCTCTAGACAAACTATTTTGTCTATAGCCAGTCAAAAACAAAAACAAGATCCAATGGAGTACTGTGTTCCTGCCTACATATATAAAAAAGTGGAGAAAAATACATATAATCATACTGTCACTCTGAGGGTTAAACAAGCAAAGAAGCAAGTGGAGGACTTTGAAAATTAAGCCGTGCAAGGCAAACACATTATTATTTTTTTTCTTTTCTTTAAGACTAGGCAATGCTTTGGGTTTTTTTATTTTGCATTTCCTCTCCTCGGAAACATAAGGTCCACTGATTAGCTCATCCTGGGGTTTAGGGCTGGAGAGATGAGAGTAGAAATGTCTCGCGTGCATTCACATAATGCGAAGCTCTATTTTAATCTCTACCATGGAACACAGTTGGAACTGGTGTGTCCTCACACAACTGCTGTGCTGCTGGACCTGCAGAGGATGGAGTAAAGTCAAGCCACACCCTGCATGGCCGAAGGCCTCTTTGGGTTTTTCTTCCCCTCACTGGAAATTTAAAGTTGCATATTAAAAGTGGCTCTCATTGCCATAATTCTAAAACAACTGAGTCACTAAACGCACCAACACCTATATTATATCATGAGCAGATTCAAGTCAATTATTCTGATTACTGACATGTGCATTGAAATCAAATATACAGTGAGAGAGGGAGCAGTTGCCAAGAGATAATTTGGTGCAGTAAAACATTTCATGCACTATTGAGTTTCACTGTGTCAGCTGCGGCTGTTATGCATTTTTCCCCCCTGAAAGACCGAAGTTTAAAGTTGTTTACTGGAAAAAAAGACTTGGGGGAAGCAAAGTGACATGTTACATGTTAGTGCTGTATAAGATTTATTAGACTCGTAATTGTGGAAATTGGTAAACCATATTTGCAGAGTACAGCTTCCCTGTGTGTGAAAAAGAGAGGGGAAAAAAAACTAGAGTGAGTATGTCTCCTGTGTCTGACAGTGCAAAGCTCCAGAACCACCACAAATCATGTGGAAATTTCTCGCCTTTGCCCTACCCGACACGAAGGCTGGATGTTGACATGAAAACACAAAACCAAAAGCCGTTTATACAGCGTGTTCTTCCAAAAATGGGGTCACATAGGAGCAAATGTGAATAAAAGATTAAACAATTATGCATCCCGATAAGCACAAAAAGCTGTGACATATTGTTCTGATTAGATAAACTATAGGTTGATCATTATGCCTTCCAATCCTAGACTTCAACTTTAGAGCTGAAAAAAGACTCAAGCTTTTTTCCTCACAGGCCTTGATGGACAGGATTTTATTAAGGTTACCACATCAACCTGTACCTTGAAGACCAAGATTTATATCATATTGTTTAAGGAAACAATTAGAAAAAGACTTGAATGCAAGCCCTGAGAGGAGAACTAAATCAAACACTTGCACACTGGGCAGCAAGGAGACATGGCTTTCTGATGGCATGTCATGAATAAAACAAGGCTTGGTCAGCCCAGTGGTATGTCTTTTTGAGGTATGAAGCAATGCTGGCATTACAAAGTCCCCCAGGGACACAGCACCACCTGCTGTAGCCCATCACCTGGCCGTGGTAGAGAAACAAATCAACAGCGTTGCCCTTCACACAATCTCACGATAACGCTTGAAGGAGAATAAGGGCTTTTAAGAAAAAGGAGCCGCAGAAGGCTGAAGGGGAGGGGGGCGAGGAGAATCAAAAGTACACGTGAAAGTGATACGGACAAACTGTACACCTGGAAAGTACAGACGGAGTTAATGAACTTATTTAATCAAATGTTAAATAATCTGATCTACGAAAAAAGAACAGAGTGTCTGTGTTTACACGAAAAAAGAAAGAAAAAATATAGAAATTACGACAAAACATGTTTGCTATCTGTCAAACAAGCGGTAAATACCAAAAAAGTGAGCCGAGACATAAAGAGCAAAAAACAGGGACCTTCAGAAGTTCTAACAGCAATAAAAAAAAGAGTTTACTGCAAATAAGTTAAAAGGGGAAACACGGGGCATGTAACTGGTAATCAATGGCACATGGGCAGACCTGAAAGGAGCAGTTTGATCACATGATGTAACTGCGAGTCAAATCAGGGAGACACAAAAGAACACATCATTAAACAGCAGCCATTAGATAAAGATGAATTCAGGTTCAGTGGTGTGGGTAGGGAGGACACAGTAGAGGCATCCATTATACTGCTGAATTAGACTCTATACATTAAAGTATAAGACCATATTGATCCAAAGTTCACCCCGTTTTGAGCCACCCTGACAGCACACTGCCCCAAATCTAAAGCATCTATGGCATCAACCCCAGAAAAAGAAAAAAAAACAGCTCCCCAATGCGGCTGACCTGTGTGGCTGACCTGAAACATGAAGAATGCCTTCATCTGTTGCAGAAACTGGCCGATGTCCAATCAGTGCCCTGCAGCTCTGTAACTTATGGCAGTGACACTTCCTACAACAGTCATTATGGTCTTCAACGAAGCCTCTAACATTCCCACCCCCCAGAAAAAAAACACACTAAAAACGCCTGAACGCTGTATATCCCATTTCTCTCCACTGTGCTCATCGTGTTGCTATTACATAAGTTGCTGTTAGCCGGTATTACATTTCTTTTAACAAATGCCATCTGTTTTTGTGTCTCACACCATGAATATCATGCATTCTAATGTATTTTTGGAGTCCAGCGCACAAGATAAAGCAAACACAGCCAAAGTAAACGGCACTTGCTTATCTATATAAAGACAACCAATCGACAGCTGTCTCGCTCTTCAAGGTGACATGGTGTTGAAGTTAATCAGGAAGTTCTTTTTGGAAAAATGTAAAAACATTATAAAAAAACGTAATGGCCACATTATCCAATCAACTCAACAACTTCAGTAATTACAGTGTTATTATCTTTATATAAACAGGCAATCAACAGTGGTTTAAGCTCATATTAAAAGATAAAGCTTTCTATTTTTATTGCTGAGCAGTTCGGCAACAAGGGCGTTGATGTCCTAACCTGGGTGTAAGGAACTCAGTGACATCTTTCACACTGCTGCAAGCTTTGTTTACCCTTTCATTTGAGTCGTGACCTGTGAACCGCCAATGCCGACGAACTCTTAATTTTCCAAAGCCCTAGACTACATATTTCCATTGTGCAAGCCTCGGGGGATACTCAGCATCAAATTGCTCGGTTGTAAAGCCTTTTTTTTCTAAATTCAGTATTACAAAGCACAGTCAGCTGAGACGTCTAAGTGGAAGGCACATACTTGCTGATAAAAGACCAATAGTTGAGATTTGGATCACATGGACTCAAGTCATGCTAGACACAAATGTCAATAGCATTTCCTAATATGGAGAAAATAAACACTGGGTTCATCTCATGTCCCTGCTTGTTTTGCAATCCCCAATGATATCATGCATAGACGTGAGCAGACACACCTCTCAGTGTTCTCAGACAGATGAAAACAGTTGAGATATGCATGAGGGATCATCAGTAACTCTCACATTGACACATCTGCAAGTTCGTTACAGCCTTTCCCACTGGGGGTTTATCCATCATGTGCCTATCATACTGGCACTTCTGCTGGATTTTTAGCATTTTTCTCACCGACAGCTACTGGCTCAAGCATTAAAATGATCATTTAGGAGTTTCTATTTGAACTTGTTTGATCAGCGGGCAGATTATCCAGATAGATATCATGTCATGAAATATCTCCAAATCTAAAGCAAACGGCAGGAAATGAGAGAAAACAGGGGAGTGCTATCTGCTTTCCCTGGCTTGCTCTTGCAGATTGAAAAGTTATGCCTAAGAAAGTTTGAATCTTTTTTTCAAAATGCACAAAAAAAAGGAAGACAAAATCCTCAAAAATGGTCAGTTTGGACAATGGAAACACTGAAGCCAATCCATTAGCCCTTTTGATTAGGAAAAACTCTCCTCTAAACATCATAACCGCCCCACTGTTAGAAAAGCTCTCTTTATTATAGATCAGACGCGGGTCACCTGCTCTGAATGCAGGAGCCATTCGGGCTCCTGACCTCCACCGCGTGCCTAAAAACACAGCTGTGTCAAATCTTGTTTGTGCCTTTTGATATTGAAAAGAAAAGAATGTCGAAAGATGTTGGGGAGGATAGCGTGGAGGATGTGCCTTTTATGAGTTCAGCTTTCAGACGTCACGCTCCACGCCATGCTTATTTCACACCGCTTCAGGAGGACACACTGTTGCCTGGTGACTCTCACTGAAACACACACTGACTCACACAATGAGGGACATTTTTACGATCTACCCGTCAGTCTGCTCAAGGCAAGAGGAGCGGGAATCTCATCTAATATGTCTGTCAGTGCATGAAGCAACGTTTTTTGGAAAGACAGAAAAATAATAAACACGTCTGTGTAACAATGAGGTCAAATGTCATGGGTAAATTGTTTCCTTCAGAGGGACGGCCTGTTCTCTATTCACCGGACACGGTTTAGTGCACAAACTGGTGACAAATGTTTGATCTGAAGAGCAACAGTAACCTTTGTGCTCCTGTTACACACAACAGATCCCCACTGTGAGAGACGATGACCATTTGGATTTATTTGATTACTCACTGATGGGTGTAGAAGTTTAGATGGCTGTACAACAAACAGCCTGAACACTGCGGCTGATAAGTGAACTTTTATCCTGCAGTCTCTGGCTGTAATTATGCTCTTCACCCATGTGCTGATGTTGGAGCTGGTGCAGTACCGCGGTGAGGCTCAGTGGGTGTGCCATACGACACATGCCCAACTTTATTCAGAAACCTTCAAATAAAATCTCAACCTACTTAATAAAAAAAAAAAAGATCTACCCATCCATAACCTACAAGTGGTGAACAGCAGCTGGTAAAGTTCTTGGAAAAGTAACAGAGAGCAACTGATTGCGTCTAATTCATTATGTACTTGCTTGGAACTTTGTAACGGGGACTTGCAGTCATAAAATAAAGACGATAAAGACAGCGATAACTTTTTTTTTGATGATTGCCGATGTGAATCATTTGTTTAAAAGTGTGTTGCAGCGGACTCACCTTGCCTTGGGAAAGCGGGTTCTGTAGAGAGAGGGAGCGGAGCGCGACTGGAGCCCGTCGGATCTCAGCTTGGAGGAACTGAGCTGAACGGAACTCGAACTTCCGCATTTAAGCCAAACCCCTCTCCCCCCGGTGGGAGGGCCCACCGGCCCGGGCCGGTGCTTCTCAGGGGACGACACAAAGACAGGAACGGGCTTGCCCTAAAGGTGGGACAGTCCAGGTGAATGTGCCTCCCTGAGCTGAATCCAAATGGTTTTTTTCCCCCATTGTTAGCCTTACCTGAAGTAAAAGAATGGCTTCCTGTTCCATAAAGTACTTTACTACTTTTCAAGAAAACCATTATGGTTCATATTTGTCAAATTTGTAGCTGAAAATGAAACTGTTGTGGGTTGTCCTCCACAAAGCTATTGTGTGGGCTATTTTACAATTACTCAGCCCTTGAGTTCCAGCCTCATTTAACTTTATATCACTCACAGCCAACTGCCTTGTCAGCATAGGCTTTAGAAATTCAATTCATATTACATCTGAAATATCTGACTCAGTTTTAGAACTGTGTCAAAATCAAGGAGTGAAAAATGCTCAGATGTGATCCTCTTTTCTTTGGGGTGGAAAGAGTTAGCGAATAAAAAAAAATAGCTCATTCTGTTCGGTTTGTTTCACTGCGTAAGGAACCTGCTTTGCATGATCTTATGACACTAATATTTAATCATCTAACAGGGCATCAACATGATTACGCATCAGCGAACAATTAAGTCATGTTTTCCACCAAATGCTTCCCAGACAGGTCATAGTCACAAGCCTCCGGCTCTGCTCTTCTGCACATCGGCAGACAGTTGGTCATGAGGTTAGAAATTCAAAATATAATAGTAAATAAACCGAATAAAGAGCCTTAATCTTCCCTTTGGGTCAAATTTTGAAATTATTAAAATGTGGCAGTGATTCATGCCTCAGTGTTAGGGCAGGCCTCAGTGGCATAGTTTTGCTACGCCCTCTAGGGGTCAGAAACAAAGATGAGAAGCTTACGGTCTGCAATGTGGCACAACGTTGCTTTTTATGCCCTCGGGGGTTAGAAAGTTGTAGAGCTTCAAAGAAAACATTCATTAATCTCTGAGTCCAAATTAGGACCCAGCCCATGCAACAACAATAACAACAAAAAAAACGGACCACAATGACATTCATCCCGCCTGTTTCTTGTTTTACAATAGTTTCTCACCTCATAAGCCACAAAGAGCAGAGCAGCAAGTCATTTTTACTTGATTTTTGCTTATCTGTGAAATCTTGCAATACATTTTATTACTTTTTTTTCTTTTTTTTATTGAATTAATTAAATGTGTTGACTTGTTTAATACAAGAAAAGACCTGGCCTCTGTTATGGAGTGCCACCAACTGTTTGCTTCCAGTAATTTTTGCATTCTGCTGCATTGGTCAGCTGGGCAGTCTTTAAGCTACACCCGTGCCAAGTCAATTTATAGCTGCAAGCTGACCAAACGTCCAGCAGCTAAACACACCTGGGCACTGCTATCAAACCACTCAAATGCACAAGTTCTCCATGTGCATTGCATACTTTTGGTAAATTTACAACTGGATAAGCATGCTGCGGGAGACATCCTGGAGTTAGAGCTGACAGTTCAAAGAGACAATATTTTGTGGATTTGAAGCTGGAGGAAGATCACAGTGTGTCACAATAAACACATTAATCCCATGATGATTGTGTCACACAATGAATGGATCGCAGTTTTCGATAGACATCTGGTCATCTGAGCAGTTCAGACGATCAAAGTGTCCTATTTCCAGTGAAGCCAGAGCTTTTAATTATCATTCATTTCTCTTTCTCCAGCCATGCATTGTATACTTATCTGTTTGATGCTTTAAGTTACAAGATTCTGAAAGCCATGGACACAGACATATTTTGTGAGGGTTAAAAAGACTGATCTGCTTCTGGACTGCTCCTCTTAAATAATTAAACCAGCATCATAAAATGTGGGCTGCTGGCCTTCAAATATCATGGATAATGTGGTGTAATACCTCTGGGAAGCACACTGATGGTGAATGCGTTACAATCTGTTTACAAAACACTGTTCATGGATTAAAAAAGGGACTGCATTTGGTTAAATTGAAAAATGTCACTGTACACAAATTGTTAACAATTCATGAGAATATTTTCTGATTTAGTATCTTCAACATGTGGAAATGATCCATTTCCACATGTCCACAACAGCAGGAAAATACAGCATCAGTTTCAAACAATAAAGTTAGAATGCTATTATTAGCAAATGGCATGAACTAATGTTTTAAACAGAGCACAGAAAACAAAAAAGGTGGACACTCAAAGACAGTTTCATGAAAAACCTGAGTATATCTGGAATTTGAGGGCAAAGTGGAGCTTCTTTCATTTAACAATGTGTAAGGATCATACTCAAAGACACACTCGCTGGTGAAAATTAATCATCTAACCATTTTAACATTACCTTCCTGACAATAAAGGGAAGCGCCCCTGAAACACGACTTTAGTCTGCAGATGTAATGGGTTTTTTTTGGTATGTTTACCTAGTGTCAGGAGAAGGATAGATATTAAAAGAATTGTTCAATTATGATGCTCTTGAATTGGTTTCTTAGCATGTTACACAACCCTCCAATATAAAAAAAAAAGAAGATGTATAGTATTTTCGGATTTAGAAACAAGCAAAAGCTTGTTCAGATTATTATTTGAAGAAGAGAGCTGATTAACATTTATGAGAACCATATGAAACCTTTATTTGCACAACAAATACACACATGAGTAAGGAAATCTGCAGCTGTGGTAGCTGTGTTCCTGAGAACACCGAAACACTGAAAGTTGGAACTGATAGCTCTGAATAACAGAAGATAATATATAATATTGTGCAAGCATTATACTGTAAATGCTAATATAAATGTAAAACATCATTTCCATACAGACTACTGTGAAAAAATCCGTAGTTGTACAAAAATTATTGAACCTGATGAAAGTCAAAGTTACAAGAAATGCTGCATGTTGTGAGTTTATTGAATTTACAGAACCCCAAATTCTGGAAAAAGTGTTCTGTAAATACCTAATCCAGAGTTCGGGGTTCTGTTTCACATAACTACTGTTGTGACTGACGTCACTGCTGTGCATAATTTCAGCAAATACGAAACGTGACAAACATTGTTACAATCAAAATCAACATTTTGATAAATGTGCTTTATCAAAAGGGACATATGGATCAAACTGTTACCGTATTATTTGTTACTCTTTTACAGGAACAAGCCTGATAATTACATGTAGTCATAAAGTAATATAAAATAGTTTTGATTCATTTTTCTAAATAAAGTTGATTCTTGTCTAAAGAAAATATAATTTTAATATATTCTTTTCTCTAAAGTTTAGGTTGTAAATTATCTTTATATTGTTTGAATGTGACAGTGTTGAACAGAATGAACAGTCATATGACCATTAATTATACGAACAGTTACAAAAAGTGCAAACTTGCTTATAATTTCATTTTTTTTAAATGCAAAGAAACTAAATGGAATGTCTTAACAGGTCCTGGCTAAGATAAAGTCGGTATCCTTGGGGAAAAAAGAGTTTTACACTGATGTGTTTCAGCAACAATTACAGCACCGGATAGAAGTTAGGACACACTCAACCAATCATAGTAGAGCTGTCCACACTTGATTTATGTTGCACATAGATAAAGAAATTCAACATAAAGCCTCCTGGTGTTGGGAAGAGAAGTCTTTGCAGCCTTAAATGCATGAGAAGAACAGTCCACAGGCTGTAAATTGACCATCAGTTCTCTACCGGGGTGCTGTGTGGTTCTCATCTTTTCCTTAAAAGTGCCATGGCACAGCACATTTCCTTTGAGCTCTGACCGCGGAAGAGTTTTCATCCAAAGAGTCTGGCTTGATATGAACCTATGACTTCTTGTTATTGTTCTCCTGCAGACGCTCTGTCTCACTTTCTTCATTTTCAGACTCCTCCTCTTCTTCTTTTTTCTTCTGCTTCCCCCAGCTTTCTGGATTTTCCTCCCCGTGGCCAAGGGCATTATTCTGTTGGCAAACTAAAGCCACATATCATGGTCATATCTGTTCAATGAGCTTTACGATTGCCTGAAACTAATTTTCTGTTTTATACAAATGTATTAACCATTCGGTGGACTGTGTTCAGGAACTAGGGTTAATTTCATCAATTAAATGGAATGACTAGCACCTACCTTACCTGTTCCTGGCTTTGACTTTCATTTTCCTTGGTCAGGTTAGTCTGTGACTGATTCTCTCTTTCCCACAGAGCTCCAAGAGAGTAACTGGACATTAGGCTGTGACTCTGATCTATAGAATCAAGCTCCACGTCACTCCAGACTTGCTGTAAAGGAAAGATCATGTGAATGCACTGTATGTAAACAATTCCCTTGCACTGTAACTGGGGCTACAGTATGGCACAGATACATCAACCGAACATTAGTGCAGTCAGATATTGAATTTGTTGACTGCAATCGACATGTCTGCAAATAGGACAACAACAACGAACAGTGTGGCTGATATTTGTTTGATTACTTCCCATTGTGTCACATTGATTTGGAAGGTTGCACTACATATATGTACAAATATATATATATGTATAATATATATTTGTACATATATGTAGTACAACCTATGACATCTGATTTAGTCACCAGTGGATAAATGGTGTTTTCTTTATCTGTGTTTGTTTCCACTCCTCACTAAATGGTGGCTCATTCATACTTACCGTGTCTGATGTCGACATAGAGGAAACCCTGTGAAACACGCTTTTGGAGACCGATGACTGCTTGCTCAGCACTGAGTCCCTCATAGAAAACTTGCTGTGTGGCACTGATATGCATTCCCTCTTCCGGGCACCAGCCAGGAAGTGTAGACAGGGGACGTTTTCTGCAAGGGTGTCCCTGTTGAAAATATTAGTATTTTTCAGTAAGATGTTTTTCATCCTTTTTAAATGTGAGGTAATCATTAATTGAATGGCCCCATGCACCTGTACTTGGCGTGAATGATAGCGTAGATAAAAGGGTTGTAGATGGCTGATGCTTTTGCAATAACAGCAGGGACAGCTTTGGAATAGGGATTGAGGACGCTTCCATATCTGAAATGCATATGGTGTTGACAAATTCAAATAGCATAGTTCTATGCTTGTGATGTAGCTTAGCATTCCATCATGCTATTTGTAATCATATTCCATGATGACTAAAGTCAATTATATAATGCAAATCACGCTGTATTTACATACTTAATGAGGCCAGACTATTAAAAAGATTAGTTGATCATAAAAAGTGCAGATTAACATGCCGTAAGTTTACCCAGCCCAGGCGATGAGGGTGACACATGCATAGGGCGACCAGGAAAGCACAAAAACTATGATGACCACAAAGGCAATCTTTGCCAGCTTCCATTCAGTCTTAATGGACTGCTGCTGAATCAGCGTTGACTGTCTCACCTGAGACCCCAACTGTTCCACATCTCTGTATGGATAGAGAGGGGTTAAAGGGACATTCTGTACTGTTTTTATTGCATTCAAAGTTTTAAAAAAACAAACATTTTCAGACAAAGTCATCCGTGTGTCTTAATCATGTCACAACACAGTGAAACAGAATCAGCAAATGTTTTGGGGATGCCAGGGATACAGCAAATTTACTAAAATGTATCGTTGCGGGCTAAACTGACACCACATAAACACGTACCATCCACTGTGGGATTACCCATCCCAGATGCCTCGGAGTCAAGAGAAGCTGTTTTACACAACAAATGCTTGGCATTTCTGTCATCACTGACAAAGGTTTTCATAATGCATCTTGGCACAGTGTCAGCTGAAGAGTCAGACATGACAAGTGCCCAGCTAATGCCTGTTCCTATGCCTTGAGCACACTTAAATTATAAGTGTATTCTTCAATTATCTTTAATTCCAATCATTCTTTTAAAGAGGATTGTGTTTTATCCTAATTGTATTGTTTTCTCCCTCAGTTGTGTACAGTTGTTGATTATGCCCATCATAACTTTTCTTTAAAAGGATAGATTTTTATACCCTTTAATAATTTTATAAAAGAAAGAAGAAAACATATGAAATTTAAAAACCCATGTCTTGTGAGGTTGTGGCTGTAAGTTAGCTAAATGTTAGCTAAATCTTCAGTTTGTGCTGACTTGATTTTTGCGATGCATTGCGTGTCATTGATCTTGCAAACATTAATCAGCTAAATGAGTCAGTACACAGACGGCTACAGAAGGCAGCTTCATGATAAAAAGAGGAAAACCAATTGAATGAGGAAGAGATTGCAGATTACACATATATATTTATCATCATTAAGTATTAATAGTATTAATATGTCATTGTTTAAGGCAATTATTCATCTAAGGCATTAATTGTACATTATGATGATTATAAAGCCAGTTTAACAGATCAGGTCAATATGAAAACAAAACTCTGCATATTCACCAGTGTCAGTGTATTCACCTGCTTGTGTGACGAATGGCCAGGAACATGCATAGATAGCAGTAGGATATGATGCCCAAAGGGATGAAGAACACAAAGCAGCACAACATCAAAGTGTAACTTTTATTGGCTGGAGTAGATGTCACATAGTCCCATGTGCACGAGGTCATCAACCCCTCTGGTATATATGAACCTGTGGAAAATAAAGAAGAAAAATCACGTGAGGGAATGCTATCGAAGGTTTAAAAGTACAACAAACACACAAAGTACATGTGGCAGAGAGAAGGGACCGCTTACTCCATCCCAAAAGTGGTGCAAGGCTCCAGGCAAGTGAATACAACCAGACCAGGGCAATGATAAGGCAAGTTCGCCTGGCAGAGGTCCACGCTATGGACTGCAGAGGCTTGGTGATGACTATGTAGCGGTCTATAGAGATGGCCAGAAGGTTTATCATTGAGGCAATCCCAAATAAAGCCCCACAGAAGGCATACATTTTACACCCTGTGGGGGGACAAATGAAGAGTGAAAAACTATATTAATAACAACAACAAGACTGATCATCTGTCACAGGTTTCATACCATCTCACACCCCTTTATATTTATCCAAACTATGCAAACTAAAAGCAACATAAAACATGATGGACAAAATGTTTTCAGGATGCTTACAATAAGACTAAAAGCAAGAGAAAAAATACCTGTTTCTCCAAAAATCCACCCCTTGTAAAGAGAGTTAACAAAGAAGATGGGCGACTGTGTAATTGCCATGAGGAAGTCACTCACTGCTAGGTTCATAATGAAGAAGTTGGGAGGTGTGCGAAGTTTCTTGTTGCTGAAACACAGTATTGAAAAGGTTGTATTTTCCAAACAAATTTCCAAAAGAGATTAACATGTGCAGCAGGTAGCTGAAGGTTGGCTGTCCAAAAATAGTGTTGTGATTGTTTCATGATGGGCAAAGCCAATAGATAACTACATGTAAGCCATTGTTTTACCTAAAGTTTAAAAACAAACTATTAAAATATTCTAATTTTTCAACGTCAGATCAAAAATCGATAAGTTTAATCAGCTAACTAAATGTTGCTTTTTATAGGCAACGTGGAATGCTTGCACAACTTTAATACAACTTTAAATAGTTTTTTTTATTACTTTTACCTTGTTTATCTATTCAGGGCATTTATTCTATGAAAAAAAAAAAATCTGTATCAACAAAAAAAAATCTAAAACATCTTTATATATTTATGTAGTTACTTGTATTTTTCTTCAATAATTTATCTCGAGCATCTGTGTTCCTCTCCATTTGTTGGAGAAGAATCTTATAAACTCATGCAGCCAAACAGAGGCACAGACCAATATTCAGCGGCATGAAACTATCCTGCAGTTTATTAGCAATCAGCTATCAAAGAACTGCCTGATGGTCAAAAGAGAAACACTGCCATCCACACGGTGGCTTTTCATAAAAACCTGTGAAGCGTGCACATCAGCGTGAAAGAGCCAAAACTGATGGTCCATCTGGGACCAGAGCAGATGCTGGCAGTTCAATTTCTGAAGACATGAATGAGCCTGGTTGGCCTTGTTTTGATGCACAGAAATGTTTTTTATCCAGTTAATTCTGTTAGTATGTGATGGGTCACAGCACATGCACTTCAGATGGCCTTTGAATCTACTGTATGAACCAGCGTTTAGCGTTCAGGCCTGCTGTGCACTAAATGAGGGGATCATCTCTACTAAAATGTGAGCAAAACCTGACTTGACTTAAAACATTTTCATGTGCAGGCTTCAAAATGTTACTGCATCAGTACAGATTGGTGCCTTAATTTGTAAATGTATACATATTATCTGTGTCAATGAACACATAAAGGCTAATCATAATGACATAAAAGGTAGATTATAGAGACCCAGGTGTAGGATGATTATGCGCTCCAACAGAACTTAAATGTGTTCCTGGCTCTCCATATCTGTATTTTAGACCCATTTTGTGTTGTGTCATGACTTTTTTTTATTATTAATAGTCATATCAGCTCAGTTCTCACTGGGGCCTTCGGGGAATTGTTCCTCTGTTTTTCCCACAAATATAAGAAATATCAATAAGGGTAAACGCAGTGCAGGCTGATGACTGAGATTGTTTTTCTGTGTTCTGAACAAAGTGTGACCTGAGTAGAGATTGAGTGATGCATCATTTGAGATGGCTGTGCATCAGGGTATGCCTGACCTAATGCAAAAAGCATGTTAGGCTGAGGAGTTTTGGTTCTTCCCTATTGTGCGTTTTTCACCATACTCTCAGTGTACCCATGCTGTACTATTTATAATATGTATGATATACAATGTTCTTGCCTCTTTTTCAAGAAATCTTTACATGTAGAAAATAAAAAAAACACAGATCATTGTTATCCCCTTATAGATATGGTCAAATTGGAATTCAGGGTGAATTCACTTTTGATCCATGTGTACCTGCTTGTACCTTTTATACATGATTACTGATTACTGATTAATTATTTGAAGCTTTGATTGTGTATTGCACTCCAGATTAAATTATATAATTATAGACAAGGTCATAATTAGAAAACATTTCCCAAAATACATTTCTTGTAAAACTATTTTTTCAGCTCAGACTTTCACATAGTGCTCCATCCTTTGTAATTATGGAAATATTCAGAGATTATTGAACCAACACATCTAGAAATAAGTTGAATCATACAGAAAAAAATCATATTTGATATTCTACTCTCTAAATGTAATCATTACATTTCCATTTAAACTTGTCATTTAGCTTGTCATCTATTACTGTACATTTAGCCAATATGGTGATAAAAGTAATTTCCTAAAGAGTCCATTCATTCCATAGTTGTTCTATTGTTTTTTTATGTGAAGGATATGGTCTACTTTCTCATAAAAGGCCAGGTAAGACATACTCTTTGTTCCATGTAGAAGACCCATCCCAGGTAACCAGACTAATAATGACCAACACAACTATTATTTATCAGCTGTTACAAAAAAATCTGCTTTTTTCATATTAAGAAAAATAAGTTCCAAACCATTATAAAAGAAAACAGTCGCTGTTTTGGTTTTCGTAAAATTATCTAGTTATACTCTGTCAAAGAAAACTGGACCTAAAAGAATCCAATGAAGCTATATCATGAATACATTATTATTTTTGAAAGTAAATAAAAGCAAATCCTTTATTCTCTATTTGGAATGAAGAATTAAGATAAAAGACCCTAAGGAGAAATGTGTCCATAACCATAGATGTGTCTGGAGGATAGTGGAAACCACAGCATGACTCCCTTTGGATTGACTAAAAACAATGAAAGAACTGTTCACTTGAATTAACAGTTATTATTTGGAAACACGTTTTCTTTCAGGCCAGTTACTAGGATGGTAAACTTGGATGCAGTCTAAAGGAGAACATTTATTTTTAAAAATGTGGGATGGAGTATGAAATGGAAAAAAAAGGTCTGCAACAGTGGAAGTCTGGGAATTTACAACTGATTTACATATACTTCTCTAAAATTGCACTGATAGACAAGTACATTCTCCAACAGCATCTCCAGAAGAAAATGTTCTTACCAGTAAAACGCATACATAACCAAGGCATTCCCAGTAACCCCAACTGTTCCGATCACCAAAACAAAGAAGGCGACAATGTAGTGAGCATGGTCCGGAACGTCCACATGCCGATAGAATCCGGGTTCCTTATCCATATCTGTGATTGCAACCATACAGATATTGACGTTAATATGATTGTCTTTGTACACAACAGTAATTCTCAAACTTTAATATACAAAATCAATTTGGAATATACATTTAAAGAATTCCATAAATAGCATGTGTATCTAACGTTGCATCTTTAGCATGTTAACACTAGTTATCACTCAGTGTCTCATTTAGCTGAGTCACTTCAGTCATGTGAGTGATTTTTTCTCACTGAGAGGCTTTGAAAAATTTGCCCAGTCAGGTTGATCATTCCAGGAAATGTATACTATTTTACCCCAGGGCGTTGTAAGAACTCCCCTCAGCTGATGTGATTCAAAATAATTGTAACTTGTTTTATTCTTGTGACATGTTAACTCACTGACCTACATTTAATATGAAGTGTAGGATATTCATATCGTTTAGGGAGGAACCAGTTCTTTGCTAATAAAAAGTTTACTTTTTATCTATGGATAAGATCTGGGGACCTGAGTATTCACTAAAGGTTGAATCCTCCAGACTACTCATGTTTATGATTAGGATAATTTTAGGGCTCAACTATTTCTTCATCTTAAATTTTCAAGGACATTCAGGGACATTCCCTCCACAGCACATTTTTGGACTCAAATACCCTCCAAAAATACACATATCAGGTCTGTGCAGACTCCTGTAATTTATTTTTTTAGTGGAGGGGGTGGGGGATTAAACGAGTGTTCTATCTTATATAATCAGATAAATTATGAGAGTCAGAGGATTTTAATATCAATTATTAACGCTTGCAGGCTGTAAAATCGGGTGCCTCAGAATTAATCACGATAAGGGTTGAAAGCAGTGAAGCTGTCACTGTCTTTCTGGTCAGAGAGGAGATCCTCACTCAATATTATTGAGCTGGTATGTTTTGAGAAATGTATGAGGTCACCGGTGGAACAGCCCTCAACTCCCATTGACTACCTTTATTTTAAACGGTCGTAGTCACGATTAGCAGCATTTACTGTTGAATGTAGCAGCAGATTTTTAATTAGTTGCAAATACCTGTTCTGTATAATGTAAGTGAGGAATTCAAATAAAATGGTTAGATTGACAGCAAAACTGCTCCACTGGGGCAGTGATGACAAGAGAATGTCTTTGTTTTGTAAATTAAATGGAATTAAAGGGGCACATCAAATTCAAACTGTATTTATCCCATCTAAACGTGTTTCCTGTCTGCATGTCATCAGAGCGATGGACAGGAAGTATTAGTACCGCGCCGTGCTCTCTGACACATTAATTCCAGAAAAGCAGGGAAAATTTGTCAAATTTTTGCATTAATTATGCTTGCTCGAGAGCAAGAACATGTTTTAAATAAAGTTCTCTTTGACTTGCAGTAGTTGGCACGCCCCCCCCGAATTCACCACAGCCGTGTACAATCAGATTCCTATTACATGTTCAAATGCATCATAACTACTGAAGAAGAACATGGCATTAGTACTTACTGTCAAACCATGTACTTTTTTGTGATTTTATTTATCGGAAATGAATTGTCATATTGAACAACTGAGGTTCAAATTCAGTAAGAGACCATACATCGACGTTGGTAAACTTACAGTTGAGTAAGAAAGCCTGCATGAGCTCAGGCTGTAGCAGCACAGTGAGCGCGGTGCACGGGGAGCCGCGGAGTGTCAGCTCCACACGGTGACTGCTTGCTGTGCTCAGTGAAAGCGTGTGTGTCAGAGCAACTCTCTATCACCTCTTATTTCCTCAGAAGTCAAACCCCATCCATCCATCCATTGTCTATAACACTTATTCTAGCATGGTGGAGGGGGAGGGCTGGAGCCTTTCTCAGCTGTCAGTTGGGCAAGAGGTGGGGTACACCCCGGACAGGTCACCGGTTCATCACAGGGCCACAGAGAAACCAACAGCCACACACACTCTTGTTTATTCTTAGGATGGCAGGAGGAAGCGGGGGTACCGAGAGAGAATACATGCACACATGGGGAGAACATGCAAACTCCTCACACAAAGGTCGCCAGCCCTCGGGGATTCAAACAGGGAACCCTCTGGCTGTGAGGCTGCTAACTAAGTCAAAGTCCTTTTCTACGTATTCAGTCAGACACAATAGTCATGACGATATTCATCTAGAAATTAAATGCCCGTAGAAAGGAAAAATGTGAGAGTGAATAAGCTTTAAGAGAGGTCTTTTTCACATCATTGTGATTATTTTTTGCATGTTTTAATGGGCTGCGTGAAACAGAAACAATCACGAGTGTGTAAGTTAGACTTCATTTGTAGCATTAAAGTCATTTTCCAGCATGGGTAGGTTTTTATCTAAGGCACCAGAGAAAATAGGTATGAGCAATTACATTAAAACACACAACACTCACAGAGAAGCCCAAAAAATCATGCATTCTATTATTTTCAAAAAAGCTTTTTACAGTACCTTGTCCGGAGAGGGATCTTTTTCTCCTTTTTTTGACAAATCTTTGTTGCTGATTTGTGGAAGAGGACAGCAAAGCTGTATTGGTAAAAAAAAAAAAACTCCAGTAGGTTAAACGGATGAGCTTGATCGCTGCTTCTCTGATAACTAAGGTATGAAGAGGGAGCTTCCCATGCTGTAGCAGTAGTAAGCTGATGCTGCTACCAGTGCATGACAGCAGATGAGAATACACAGAAAGAGACAGAGAGCAGGCGGCAGCACAATAACCCATCCCCCTGATAGCTCCCCACTGCTCTTATGGCACAGTGCATCGATCATACCAGCGTGTGGTGTGTGTGAACCAGGCTTGTCATTTGGTACTTGTTGCGTGTGAGGCAGTAACAACTGTGAAATTTAAGCTCCTGTAAAACATTTGAACGTTTTTATGCTGGTCAGAAAAATGTTTTTGTGGCACCAATCAACGGGAGGACCACTTGAATCAGAAATTGTGGTCTCAAATGACTTTTCATCCACATTGATTTCTTATCTAATATATATTGCCAGTGGCACAACTTCATTTGACCACCAGATATTTACACGGAGGGTGGGAAGGTGACAGAGCGCTTAGCACAGACTCCCATTGGGTGCTCTGAGAACTGCAAAGAGAAGTCCTGCGGTTTTGGAGCGCACCAAACCTTTTAGAAAGTATCATACTTCTTCACTGCTCATCCTTGTGTAAGGAGATTTCTGAGAAATGCACTCAGATAAAAGCCTCCCAATGTTTAGCATCTCATGCACAACTGAGCAAGCTGCTGTAGCGCCTCCTCTTGCCCTCAACATTTCCCTTTTCTACACTTAATCTTCATGGCCAAGATTTCAGAGCAGATACTGTCTAGCAACGGGTGGTGTAAGCCTTTACACTTCTGGGTCACAGCACCTCCAGTGGAAATAGACATGGAAATAAATTTGTTTTCAACCAGTTCACTAGACTAAATCCAGGCTTCACAACGAAGGGGATGTTAGCAACTTGTTGCATTACTGTTAGTCACATTACATGTTTTTGTTGTTTTTCAATCTTGCTCAGTCACTTGCTGAGTCAAAGGATACAGTTGTGATGACCAGCTGATTCACTTGGAGGGTATTCAGCATCATGGGTACAAGGCTTAACTGTTTCCTGCATGCGACTCAGACAAAGAGAGCTTTCATTCATTTTCGTATATCTCATAGAAACCTGATTTTCTTTCCCCCAAAATGAACAATATACAGGGGTAATTTCACTGGGATAAACATGCACTGTCCTGCAAATCCAGCAAAACAGCCACATAAAAGCACATTACATTGTCAAAACTATCTTCAAGACTTTGGCACCTTCAAAGAGGTGCAAATTGGCCATTTTCAGGTCATTTTGTCTGTGCCAATGCCAAACTTTGTTTGATCACAGAGCCAGCTGTGTGAGCTGGGATGGACTCTCTACAATATGTGCCAGACTTGTTTGGTTCTTTACTCGTGGTAGGTGACCCCTACCACAACAACCAACTGAACAATTACTGTCAAAATGGTCTGTCACCTCTGTCCCTTCTTTCAAAGTGTGAAAGGCACAAAAGCTTCTTGCAAGATACATCGAAGAAAATAGCTGGTACTCAAGAATCAGTCTGTCTGAAGCTTTTGTTGGACAAAAAAAAAAGAGTGAATTAGCTCTAGCATAGCATGCAACTATATCTGAATATTTATCTATTCTTTATTCTCAAATAAAAAAAATTATTCTAATTTCAGAAGAGATCCCAACAAAAATGTGTAAAGTATAATTAGATCTTTTCCCACTGAAACAACTGCATTACCATCATGTTTCCATTATGCTTGACAAATTTTCAAAAAAAGAGTTCTTGATGTTTTCATTTATTTCTGGTGGCTTAGAATATGCCTTCACGTATTGCCCAGTTGGAAGATCTCATCAACCCATGGTGTTTTTTTTCTTTGCCCAATGCTCTGTTTTTCCTAGATATTTTGATGCACAGCAGTCTGATGGAGCTCACATTCTTCAGGGAATAAATGACGTTGTCTCTCTCTTTTTAAGGTTAATATTCTGGCTAAGGAAACAGTGCCTGGGGAAGCTTAGACATTCCAGTCAATGGGTCATTACGCTGTCAGAATTTGTCTGTTTCTGTGGTTTAGTAGTCCAAACAAGGGTGTGCCGAAATGAGTGAACTTGATTTTGAAATGGGCTGATGCCACTGCCACATTTTTGCTCCTAACAGCGGGAAGTGTACCCTGAGGTCTTTTGATGTAATGTGCGTGTTGACGCCTTTCCTGGGTGATGTTTTGCCCCAGAAATTGTGATAGTGTTGCTAATTTAAGAATTTCTCATTTCAGAGCTCAGAGGATAATACGAGCATGCTGTGGTGACTTCATCATGCAGGTTGATGTTGGCTGGCTTGCTTTAATTATGAGTGGCCAGTTCCTGGAAAACGGGGTGGAATTGCTCCCTGTTTGCGCTGGGCCCTGTAGGGATGCAACACTTAATGGTTTAACTGCTGATTGTCCATCCTCTGCAGCTGCAGCAATGCCCGGGCTCTCGTCTCGATGCTTGACCGCCTCATCTACTTGCTCACAGATGATGTGGAAGTACGATGTACATACATGATTTGTATATTTGTTGATTCTAATCTATCAATGATTCAGTCCTTACAGTTAGGACTGACTGTGTAAAACAGTTGTTGTCTGTTTCTTTGCTGATGATTGAATGTGGAAATAGTTTTATTTGGTCATGGGCCAGAGGAAATGAGAGTGTACACAATGGAGAAAATTGAAGAGGCTTCTATGTATCTATGGACCCCCCATATCAGTGCATCCTTAAAAAATCTTCTTAAATAACTTTGGAAAGTCCATTGGTGCGACTAAAGACGTTTCTTCTTCTGGCCACAGCTTATATCAATTATTTCATCAGAGTTGCCCACAAGAGGGCGGAAATTGATTATTTTACTGACCTATCAGGGTAACTATCCAGGAAAAGTGAAGGACTGAAAGACTCAGCTTCGAAGAAAAGGATTATTTTGTCTTTTTTCACATTACTTGAGGATCTCAGCAGCAGTGATTCAGATAATGGTTAGCTCTGAATCTAGGGCCTTCATTTGGAGAAAAGTATTATCTAATTGCGGATCAACCACTCATTTATATTAAGAGCTTCTGCAGACTTGTTTATGAGGATTACTACAGATTTAGTCAAGCTAGTGGAGAGAGAGATTATCAATAAGTGACACAGTGAACTCCATCAGGGGCAGTGCCAAAGCCATGGGGAGGTATTTGTGAACTATAGCCATTGGTTTTTATCACTGAGACAGTTACGTTTAATGCATCTTGTTATAAAACTATAAATCTTATATTAAGGATGAAATTAATCAGGTTTGCAAGCTGAATCATTGTATAATGTCAGACAGCAAACTTTCTTCTTTTTGCTTTGGCTCCATGTTGCTGTTCTACTGTGCTTTTTAAATCAGAACTTCTCGATGCAGCAAACTTCAGCCATCCAGAATTTATCACACACACCATCCACAAATGATCTTGTATTTAGAGGTGCCTTGATCTAATCAGTTTAGTTAAACAGGAGAAGTCTGTCTTTGTTGGTTTAATGTGAATGCCGCATGTGTGTAATTTCAGAATGATAATCTCTAAATATTTGACATTTTTTATTTGAACTTTAGGGATGAGTCGTAACAGGAAAATGTCAATGTTCTATTTGAACTTTAGGGGTTTTGCTTTTGTTGTTTATTAAGGTTGAATATCAGCTTATTAAGCTTGTCACCCTGATTGAAATCAGGGCGACATGTTGAGTTTCACAGCTGTGAGAATGCCTAATACTGAACAACCATGCCAGAACATGCAGGATGAATGCAGTAGAGTATGGCCAATGAACGCCACATCAGATGGTCAAGAAAGCGAAAGCATGCGAGAACAGAACTTGCTGAATGAACCAAAAGATCACCAGAAGTTTAGTTTTAAAATTATTGCATTGAACTCCAGTGAGAAGTGCATTGAATGTGCCAGTAGATGGGGTTGGTGTTCTACAAAGAGTGTAGGGGGGAAAAAAAGACCAAAACAAGAAGTGACGTTACAAACCAAAAGTTTACATTCTGCACATGGACGCCAAAATTGGGCACACTTCCTGTTTGGAATGGGGTTCCGTAACCGGAAGTTACGCTCAGTGCAAATAAAACGGCAACACTTCTGCTTTATGAAGATTTAAAAGCTTTCCCATTCATTTAAGCAAGAGCAAAACAAATTACAAATAGTTAAATAATTGAAA